CCTGACTGTGGGTCTTTTTGTAGAAGGTGGAGTATACCTTGGGCGAGGAGTCAGAAGCCCCGGGCCAAAGGATGCTCTCCTCCGAGGAGCTGAGCAGGCAGCTGGAGAAGCTGCTGAAGGAGGGCAGCAGTAACCAGCGGGTGTTTGACTGGATAGAGGTATGTTTCTCCTGGGTACTGGGGGAGAGGGATAAAGGAGAGGCAGTTTTTGGCGTGCGGGTAGGGGCATAGTTCAGAACTTAGGGGCCTTTTGTTTCTCTTCTGCACAGGCCAACCTGAGTGAGCAGCAGGTAGCATCCAACACACTAGTTCGAGCCCTCATGACAACTGTCTGCTATTCTGCAATTGTCTGTAAGAGGAGCCAGGGAGATGGTGGGGAAAGGGTGGGCCCAGCAGACAAATGGAGGGAGGGAGGTTTTGGTCTTCGCCTCCTGGTTGTGGACCAGGCCGAGGGTGCATTAGTCCACTTAACTCTATCTTCTTCCCTGTAGTTGAGACGCCCCTCCGAGTGGATGTCACGGTGCTGAAAGCGCGAGCGAAACTGCTACAGAAATACCTGTGTGATGAGCAGAAGGAGCTGCAGGCGCTCTACGCCCTCCAGGCCCTTGTAGTGACCTTAGAACAGCCCGCCAGTAAGAGCCAGGCTGCAGGGCGTGGGGGTGGGGGCGCTGCCAGAGAGCAGGGGCAGTCATGGAAAGGGTCTCAACCCAGGAGAGGGGGGTGGTCCCTGGAGAGCAGAACGCCCTGGTGGTTGATTTCTTCCCCCTGCACGGGTTTGTTTCCTGGCCTACAAATGGAAGGAGGTAAGACTCAGCCTTGAAGCTTAATTGGCTGCCATTTTGTACCCGGCCAGCTGTTCGATGCCAGGAGCACGGAGGTGAAAAACAGTAATGATTTCTAAGGACCCAGTGCTCTTGTGGCCTGGCAGGGGGCTGAGAGGCTTTTCTTTCCTTGCCTCATTTAATTCTCACAGCTGTTGTTTAAAGTATATCCCTGTTATCCCCTTTACCATGTTGGGAGACTGAGGTTTAGGTTAGCATGCCTGAGATTGTGCGTTCGGCAAATAGGTATGTGCCAGGGCACTGGGACGTTGGCAGAGATTAAGTCAAGCACAGTTCTCGTGCTGGCATGGAGTCTTAACAGGTGATGAGTGGTGGAAGATGGGTCCTGCAGGGTGCTCTCTGGGGACACCTAGCGTAAGGGATGACGAGTGGGGAGTGGGAATTGACAAAACGGCAGCCCAATGACAAAGGGGAGGGGGGTCCTTGAAATGAAGGAATTGTGTGTAAACGCAGGCCCTGAGGCAGAACGGACTTGACTCAGGTGAAAGAAGTGCCCGGGGAAGGCCAGCGTGGGCGAGCATAGCAGCTAGTTGTGTGTGAGGCAAGATGGGGCTGGAGAGATGGACATGGGCCAGGTCCTGCAGGGCTGTCTAAGCCATGGGACGAGTTTTGGCCTTCAGCCTAAGGCCGGGAAAAAGCTTTGTGGAATTTTAGTTTTTAGATCATCCTGGCCATTAGTAGGAGGAGTGGTTTGGAGTGGGTTGAATGTGAACACGCAAGAGCAGCAAATTAGGAGCGGGTTGGGTTGCTGGCGGCTCGGGCTTGCTGGTAGCATTGGAGATGGGGGTGGTGCGGTTGCAGTTATAACACAGGCATGATGGGAGGGGTTATGAGAGAGGGGAAGTTACAGGCCTTCCAGCATGCTTTTTTAGCAGGCGGGGGGATGGCATGGTACCATTTGCCCTGGGGGGGGGGGCGGGGTTGGGAACACTGGATCAGGTTGAGGTTGGTCATAATGAGTTTGTGGTCCCTGGGCGGGGGTGATCAGCAATGTCAGACAGCTGGGTACGGGAATGCATTTGGAAAGGAAGAGGTCCGGGTTGGTGGCTGATCTGTGAGAAGCTGGCACAGCAACACATGCAAGTCACCAGAGGGTATGGGATTGCTTGAGGGAGAGTGGTGAGAGCCTGCGATAGAACGTTCAAGTGGAGCACCCACAGGTAGGGATCAGAGGAGGACAGGGCCCTGTGAACAAAGGACAAAGTAACTTTAGGAGAGGGAAGTGGTCTGTAACGTTAGATGCTACTTGAGAATTCCATAGGAGCAGACCTGAACATTTAGGGCCTTTGGAGTGTAAAAACACAGAGGCCACTCTGGCATATTTGGTAGAGCAGGTGGCAGTCTGGATTGGAAAGGACTGAGTAATACTTGACTGAGACAGGAAGAAAGGAAAACAGCAAGTGTAGACAGAATCTTTGAGTTTAGTTAATCTCTTGTCCAAAGACAAAAATCTTTTGTTTGACTGTAGGAGATAGTGGTTGTAAAGGAGGCCTTTTGTGTTTAGATGGGAGAAACTTGGGCTCAAAAATAGAGGGCAGAGTGGATAATTGATTGTGTAGGGTCCCCAGGGTGGGTGTGCATGGGATTTGGAACACAAGTTTGGGATAAATGCTCTCCTGCTGTAGGATGAGTCTGGGGGGCGGTGGTTGTGGATTTGAGGGGGTGTGTACCCTGAGGAACATCCTGGCTTGCAGCTTCTCATAGATGGCTGTCAGCATTTCATCTAGGCCTGGACTCCAGATCCGAGCGAGGCTTTATTTAGAAAACAATGAATTCGCTACTTGGCCTTCCTTTGCTTTTGGAAAGTTTGGCAGGGCAGTGTGGGGGTATGGGATAGGTTGTGTTCAGAGCTTATAGGACAAGTGCTTGGGAAGGCTTAACCTAGTAGTCAGGATGGGGAGAAAGAGGGTCCAAGCAAGGGGTGCCGGAGTTGAGCCTAAAGAAATTCAGTAGGAAGGTGACAAGAGAAAGGAAGTCCTGGCAAAGGATGCAGCACCTGTAAAAGTGTCAAGGCCAGAGAGGATGTGTATGTTCAGGAGATGTGTGGAAAATAAGAGGAAATTGGGATCCAGTTTGCTAGCATCTGTAATGGGGACCAGTGAATGTTCCAGGTTATAAACCCTTGACTTTGGTGAGTGATCTATCTGGGACTTAACGTCATTCCTTAAATTGAGGAGTACCAAATCTGTGTATAGTTTTTGAGTGAAGCTGCTGAGGTGAAGCTTGGGCAGGTTGGTAAGGTTTTTCTGTGACTCATTACCATGCACGAGTCTCACGAAGAGGTTAACATCTTGTTAGAGACCCACCTAGTCACTCTGGAATGGTCAGACACACAAATACCAGGAAGGTGGATCAGGCCCTTGTTTTAACAGTGGAGCCTGGGAGTGGAATGGGGTGGCTGTGGGCAGCACTCCTCTTAACTGCTCTTGTCCTGCCTGCTTGCAGATCTGCTTCGGATGTTCTTTGACACGCTGTATGACGAGGATGTGGTGAAAGAGGATGCCTTCTACAGCTGGGAGAGTAGCAAGGACCCTGCTGAGCAACAGGGCAAGGGCGTGGCCCTTAAATCTGTCACAGCCTTCTTCAAGTGGCTTCGTGAGGCGGAGGAGGAGGAGTCTGACCACAACTGAGGGCGGGTGGGGCCGGGGACTTGGAGCCCCATGGACACTCAGATGGCCCGGCCAGCCGCCCGGACTGCAGGGGGGGCGGCGGCAGCGGCGGCGGCAATGGGTGCCTGTAGTGCGATGTGTCTGAGCTAATAAAATGGCTGAAGAGGCAGGATGGCGTGGGGCTGCCTGGGGCCCCCCCTCCAGGATGCTGCCAGGTGTCCCTCTCCTCCCCCCTGGGGCACAGAGATATATTATATATAAAGTCTTGAAATTTGGTGTGTCTTGGTGGGGGGGCACCACCGCCTGCCCCTGGGGTCTTTTTTTATTTTCTGAAAATCACTCATGGGACTGCCGTCCTCGCTGCTGGGGGCATATGCCCCAGCCCCTGCACCACCCCTGCTGCTGCCTGGGCAGGGGGAAGGGGGGGGCACGGTGCCTGTAATTATTAAACATGAATTCAATTAAGCTTACTGCCTCCCTGCTTTATGGCCTGCTCCCTCTGGAGAAGGGGTATGGATAGGTGGGCAGCCTCCTTTCCAGAGCGGGCACTCTAGTACTGTCCCCTGTAACCTGGCACCCCTCTTGCCTCTTCCCCTGTCCATGATTGTGGGGGTCGGAGGGTCACTTTCCTGGGGGGTTGGACCCTTGAAACGGACATGGTGGGGTGCCCTGTTGGTTGGTAGGGGAGAAGAGACAAATAGCTGCGGGGTACTTCCAGAATTTGATGCAGACCCCTATGTGTGGAGGAGGCCCTGGGTTTCAAGCTGTTTACAGCCGGGGAAGTCCTTTGTGGCTTCAAGGGCTCATCTGTAAAAGAGAGGCGGCTGGATGCAGGAGTCTGACCGTCCCCATGCGGCGTGCCTGGCATCCGGGGGCCCAGTGAGTTCTCGCCCACCTTTTGCCTTAAGGGTCGCTCCGCAGTCGGGCCTGGGAGGAGAGGAGAGGACGAGGTGTTTCCGGACTCGGCCCCAGGCCGCCCCTGCGTGGCTGTGACGTGTTTCGCCCCGCCCGCCCTGGATGGTGACGCGGTGGCCACGCCCCCGCGCTGACGTCACCGGCCCGGTTCCCTCTCCGGGGAGCGGCGGCGGACGCGCGGCTCCCACCCCCTCCCCTCTCACGGGCTCTCCCCTCCCCGGTGGCGGCCGCTGCCCGACCCTCTGCCAGGCGATGGCCCGGGCCCCGAGCGCGGGCTAGCGTGCCTGGGTGCCCGGCCATGGGCTGTATCGGCTCTCGGAGTCCGGCGGGTCAGGGTAAGAGGTGGAGGCCAGGCACGGGTTGGGGAATTGGGCTGCGGCTGCCCGGTGCGTGGGCCGCGGGTGGGTGGGGGCCTTGAGGAGGGGGCCGGTGTCGGGAGAGGGAGGAGCCTGCACTGGGGAGGCGGGCCAGGCAAGAGGAAGGAGAGGGCAGGAGCGGGGAGGGGGCCAAATCGACTCGGCTTCGCTGCCACGGCCTGCCTGCTTCTGGGCTTTGCAGGGTAGACTCATGGTCTTTCCGCCTGGATTCCCACCGCTGAAGGGGGCAGGAGGCGCACAGCCTTGGGAGGGGCAAGGTGTCCATGGCGACTGGCCTTCCACGCCCACACACTCGCCGCCCCCACGGCCCACACCTCTCTTCTTCTCTGCCCTGGGAGTGGCCCTATGCTGGGAACCTGCCTCTCCTAGCTGTCTGTGTTCCAACCCCCTTAAGGAGGTAGCCTGCAAAGCCCGTCAAGCACCCCACTACGGAGTTTTTGGCTAAAACTTAACTTCTCCCTTCAGAGTCAGATGTTGATGAAGGAGACTGAGGCCCCATTTGGGGCACCTGTGAGCACCTGATCACCTTAACTGTTTTAGTTCCTTCCCCCACTCCCAACAAAAACAAATCATCATACCTTGTGGGGGGAAAGAGGAGTCCAGAGAGAGGCCATTAGGGCTTCTTAAAACTGCTGATGCCTGCTGCTTGGGTCTTGGTTCCCACGGATGGTGGTGCACGCTGGGGCCTGGCTTCAGTCCTATGCATCTGAGGTCCACCAGCCTACTTAAGTGTCATGGATTTCTCCAAGCCTAAGGCCAGGCAGGGATTTGTCAGGTTGAGGGCTGGATTTGGAATGGGTCCTGGGCTTCCAGGGCAGGTAGTCAGTCATACAGGCCTTAGTGTGGTTGGTACTTGAGATTCTTTGGAGCTAAGACTCTGGCTGAGATTTGTACTCTCCTTGGGTTCCCACGAGGAATTATGGGATTTGTAGTCCTAAATTAACCTCCTGACTTTTGAAGCTGAGAAGCAGCAGGCTGCTCTGGTCCCTCTGGCCCTGCTAAGGCTTGGAGTTCAGGAAGTCATTCCCTCCTGTAGTCAGGGGAGAGTTTGGCTGACCTCAGGACTGGCTTTGAGAGCCCTGATTAGGTACCAGCTGGGGGCCAGGGATGGCCTGTAACCTTGTGTCTTCCTTCTGGTTGGTAGCATTTCTGGGGACGACCAGCTGGCTGAGGCTCAGGGACAGAGACGGCTGCTCCAGCTAAAGGTCAGTTGGGATGTACATTGCCTGTTGGCACTGTCTAGGGGATGGGCCTCAGCTTCCTGAGCTCCAGAGAGCTCTGCTGGGCCCCTTGTACTCCCACCTCCTCAAAGCCAAGAGGAAGGAGTGTTCTCCTTATGTGACTAGGCACAGGTTCCAAGTGGGGAGGGGACTGGCTCAGCATCCGGAGCCAAAATAAGAATAGAACTGGGAGCTGAGCCTGGAGCAGTTCTGGGCTTTTGGTTCTCTGCATCAACACAGCCAGCATGCCTATGATTTCTGTGCTGGGCAAAATGTTTCTGTGGCAGCGTGAAGGGCCTGGAGGACGATGGACTTGTCAGACAAGTCGCAGAGGTGAGACCAGGGACTGTAGCTGTGATCTGGGAGGTGAGGGGAAGCTGAGGAGTAGGGTGCTCAGGTGGCAAAAGGAAAATTACTCTGGCTTAGATATTGGGAACCAGGATGAAATAGGAACCACCAGGCCAGGGCCAGACAGGGCATCAGGAAAAAAGCTTTAGGGGGCTGGGGTGAAAGTAAGAAAAAATCGTGGGTTTGTCAGAAGAGAAGAGTAAAGAGCTGCGTACCAGCTCATGCTGGCGAGAGGAAAGAACCAAGAGAAGGAAGGCACCAAGCCTGTAAAGGGTCCAAGGTGGTGGTGGGGAGGAGGATGGCGATGGTGGTGGAAGAACGCAGTGTGCTTTCCAAGAGGAATGGGTAGGCCGAGAAACCCAAGATCGAGAATTTATGAAAGTTTAGGTTTCATCCCTAGGGTTCTGATGGCAAACATACATCCAGAGGAGGAAGGGGGCATGTGGGCTGCCACAGAGTGGCCCCAGGGGCCTGAAGGTCAGGAATGTGGAATAGGGGTTTTCAGAATTGTGGAGAGCACCAGGTGGTTGCTGATGTTCTGGGAGGTGGGGGAGGGGTGAGGAGAAATGATATGGCAGCACCGGATGAAAATGGGGATATTGGCAGAAGTGGGAGCCCAGGTGAACAGCCTTTCCCCCACCCCTCAGTGGCCTCGGACCCCGCTTGGGCTGTGGAGTGGATCGAACTTCCTCGGGGCCTCTCTCTATCTTCCTTGGGATCTGCTCGGACCCTTCGAGGCTGGAGCCGGTCCTCCCGCCCTTCCTCCGTGGACAGCCAGGACTTGCCAGAGGTGCTGGGCCCCTGGTATTGGTAGGGGGAAGGGGGGCCGCATTCACATGAAGGGGATCTGTATCCCCCACCCCCGCCTCGCCAGCCTGCTTCTGGCTCCCTTTTCCTGCGAGCGGAGGCGCTATCCGGCCGGCGGGGCCCCAAGGCCGCCCCCGCGCCGGTCTGCTCTGCTTGGCGTCGTGCCAGCGGGCGGGCTTTGCTCCCGCCTTGGGCGCTGACGTCAGCGCATCCCAGGCCGTATCCCGGGAGACCCTGTTGCATGGTGATGGGTTGCCAGGGAGACACACACCTTTTCTCTGGGCTTGGGCCGCAGCTGCGCGGAGCGCCGGCACGGATGGCAGTGGCTGGGGGCAGTGAGGGGAGGGAGGGAGAGCGAGCCAGGAAACACCCAGCAGGTGCTCCTCCCCCCAGGCCTGGCCGGAAGCTAACGGCGCCACCCTGGGGCCCCTGTAAGCCAGGTACTGGGGTGGGGGTGGGGGGGTGGGGGGGAGCAGAGGGTGGGCCTGAGGTCAAGGGAGCAGTTGGAGCTCTTCTTGTGAGGGGTGGGAACCTGATCAGGAGAGCTAGGCAATTCCGGGGAGGGGGCATGTGCCTCTGACTTCATTCATTCATTGAGGGAAACATTTTCCAGGCTTGCCAAGGAACACTGAACCAGGTGCAGGGTGGAGGTAGGAAGCCAGGTGAATCAGAGTCAGGCCCTGCCATCCCGAGATCCCTCAGGAGAGATGCACGGGCAATGCTGGTGTGGGGGTGGGGGTATTGAAGAAGAGAGAAAACTGGACTGAAAACGTAATAGGAGGTGACACTTGAGTCAGGCCTCAGATGGTAGGGAGCATTTTGTCAGGCAAGGATGGCGTTCTTAGCCCAGGGGAGAGCTGGGTTCCTTTGCCTGGAGGCAAGAGGGCGGTTTGCCGACAGGGAAGGTGGAAGTGGGGTTTTCCTGGGCAGAGGGTCTAGGTGGTAGATTCCAAGGCCTGGAAGGGGGCAGGGGGCTCACAGAGTGGGCCCCCTCAGTGCCTGGCTGTGAAGCTAGCAGTTCACTGGGCAGTGGAGGAGCCCAGAAAAGATTTTAAATAGGGACATGTGACATGTGACCAGTTACACTCCGGGGAAAATTATTTGTATACATTTATACTTTGCCTCATTCATTCAGCCTATGTATTTAGAAAGGTTACTCTGTACCAGGTACTGTGCTAAACACTGGGGTGCAGCAGTGACCAAAAGAGACCAAATTCCTCCAAGAGCTAAAGACCAGTGAGGGGGACCAATGACCAGTAAGGAAACACACGAAGTAGACCATGATTACACACACAGGGTACATTCATAGAGGATGGTGACTTGTGACCGAGGGAGGATGGACAACTGGTAGGGTAGCCAGGAAGAGCCTTCTGAGGGAATGATGTTTCAGCCAAGACCCAAAAGATGAGAAAGAGCCAGCCAGCCCTGGGGAGGAGGGAGAGGAACACTTACACAACATTCTAGGCTGAGAAAATTCCATGAATTGAAGGAGCTTGGGGGACCACAACTGTGCTAATCTGAACATGGGGTACTGAGGGCTTGAGGAAGGGAGGGCAGTGGCAGTGGGAGTAGAAAGGATGAGCAAAGCTTAGGGGAGAGTTGATGGTAGTGCTGAGGTTTAGAGCCATGCTGAATGGTGGTTGGCTGATGCTGCATAAGGAAGTCAGGAAGCAGGGCCAGATGTGGGAAAAGGTGCTGGGTTTGGTTTTGGTCATGCTGAGTTTGTGACCCTGGTAGGCTGTAGAAACAGCTAGAAGACTGAGATGTCCGAAGACTGAGAGGAGGAGAGGGGCAAAGAGGAGAGAACCTGGAGGAGATCCTTGATGCCGTAGCTTTCTCCCTTCCTCTTTTTTCTTCTCAAAGGCCCCACTCCATGGTTCTTGACTTCCCAGCCCGCCTCCTTCCCCTCTGGGAGCTGGGAAGATGGAGGTGGGGGGGGTGGTAGCTGCAGTTCTGCTCTTTCGGGTCAGCCTGAATCTCTGTTGCTCCTTGAGAGGACACGGCTTGCTGGCCCTGGCTTCTTACTCTCCGTCTTACATACCCCAGCAGCCACAGGCACATATGTGCTGCCCTGGCATCTCTTCCCAGCTCCCGTACCCCCTTGGCACCTTGAGTGGGCTGTGGGCACAGAGGGGGATGCTGCTGTTAGAGGAGCACTGACCCTCTGATGCTGTCACCCAAGGTGAATGTTGGAGACACAGTCGCGATGCTGCCCAAGTCCCGGAGAGCCCTAACTATCCAGGAGATTGCTGCGCTGGCCAGATCCTCCCTGCATGGTACGCACCCCCCTCCCATACCTCTGGCCACTTTGTCCTTCCTTCTTCCTTTTGCACTTACCCTTGGGGGCTGTATCCTGTGAGCTCTTGCTGGGATCTCCCCCTTCCTCCCCTTCTCAGATGAATCTCAGCTCCCTCCTCCCATCCAAAGGCACATGTGGACCCTAACTACCGCCACCCTTCCACTTCCCTCCCTGGCCTGTGCCCTCACCAGCCTTCCTCCTTCTGCCCCACCCGCAGGTATTTCTCAGGTGGTGAAGGACCACGTGACCAAGCCCACCGCCATGGCGCAGGGCCGAGTGGCTCACCTCATTGAGTGGAAGGGCTGGAGCAAGCCAAGCGACTCGCCTGCTGCCCTGGAATCAGCCTTTTCTTCCTATTCGGACCTCAGCGAGGGTGAACAAGAGGCTCGCTTTGCGGCAGGTGGGGACAGGAAGGGGTCAGCCACACGTTTGTCATTGGGATGCTCTTCCCTCACCCCCATCTCTTCTCTCTCCTGTCTCCAGCCTGAGCCCTAGTCTGAGTCCTTCAGCTAATGAATCCTGCTAAGGAACCTTCTCTGCTAATAAATTCTTTGGCCTCCCTGACAGGAGTGGCCGAGCAATTTGCCATTGCAGAAGCCAAGCTCCGGGCCTGGTCTTCAGTGGATGGCGAGGACTCCACCGATGAATCCTACGATGAGGACTTTGCTGGAGGAGCTGACTCAGGTGAGGGGTAGGCAGTGCCAGTACTGGGGCGGACCTGCCCGGGAGGCCTTGTGATTCCGAGCTCAGCCTTCGGAAGGGGACGCTGGGGGCAGACCCTGTCCCGGCTGTGCCTTGACCTTCCAGGGTCAAGGGGGCTATTCTCGCTCGTGGGTGGGCAGTCAGCAGCTACAAATGGAGTGCTTCCTTTCGCGCACGTGCTGAGCCTTTTCTGCCCATCTGTGCTGTTGGGTCTTGTGGTCCAGAGACCTCACCGACACCTTCTGGGCAGCTGCATCTCTGGGGCGGGGGGGGTCCGCTGTGCCTTGCCTTCCCCTTTCGGGGCAGCCTTCTGGCCAGCTGTGGCAGCACAGACGAGCCGGCAGCGTAGCACCTCCCAGGGCTGGGGCCCCAGGCAAACAGGAAGGCGTGCTGGGCCTGGACTGCCCACAGGGCCATGCTGGCTCAGGCTCAGCCTCCGTGAGTTCCATCTGAGACCTGCCTCTGGGCCTCTCTCTGGGCCAGCGCTTGCAGAGGGGACCCTGCGGGGCTGTGCAGCTGTGCACGGCCCTCCTTTCATCTTCCGATTCTTCCTGGACCACATGGCTGACTTTCTCTGTAGCTTCTGGGCTCACGCCTCACAACACCCCACCGCCCCATTCTTCTTTGCCTTTGAAGATTACCTCCACCAGCTCCCACCCGCCCAGCTAATTAACAGATTCTCCAAGGGCAATACAGTAGAGCAGATTGGCAATATGTTAGACCTCTGCTGTGGTCCAGAGTTGACTGATTTGGATGTCTGAGGCCAAGATGGGAGCCCTGAACCACAAACGTTCTCGTCTGATTGAGTTCCAGGCCTGCTTTGACCCCTGGTATAACGATAATAACTAACATTTATCCAAGGCCACTACTTTCCCACGTAGAAGCTTTGTGCAAATTAGAAAAAAGCACCTCTTTCTCTGGTGGGCTCAGCCTGATGCTAGGCCTCGCTGCTTGGTGAGCAAGTGTGGGCTGAACTCCAGTCCACACTCACTGCCTTGGACAGGCTCTCCTCGTGCAGGGAACCAGCGGCATGACCGTGTGTGGTATCTGTGCATTTATTGCTCTCTTACTGTATGCTGCATTCTTTTGTTTGCTCAACAACCCCATAAGTAGGTCTATCAGATTCCCCAATTTGCCACTAAGGAAACGGAGGCGCTGAGAGGTGAAGTTAGCGAGCTCCTACCCTCTCCCCCCAGAGCTAGCGGCGCCGAGGGTGGAGTGGGGAGAACATGGCTCCCTCCAGGTAGACCAGTTGAAACAGGGCGGGTAGGGCTATCTTCTTTTTCTCTCCCCCTGCAGAGATGGCCGGGCAGCTGCCCCTGGGGCCCCACCTCCAGGACCTTTTCACCGGCCCCCGGTTCTCCAGGCCTGTGCGCCAGGGCTCTGTGGAGCCTGAGAGCGACTGCTCGCAGACCGTGTCCCCAGAGACCCTGTGCTCCAGCCTCTGCAGCCTGGAGGACGGGTTGCTGGGCTCCCCAGCCCGCCTGGCCTCCCAGCTGCTGGGCGACCAGCTGCTCCTCGCCACACTGCCCCCCAGCCGGGAAAGTGCCTTCCGTAGCCTGGGCCCATTGGAGGCCCAGGACTCGCTCTACAGCTCGCCCCTCATGGAGTCCTGCCTTTCCCCCGCCGAGGAGGAGCCAGCCGCCTGCAAGGACTGCCAGCCTCTCTGCCCGCCGGGTAGCTGGGAACGGCAGCGGCAAGCCTCTGATGTGGCTTCTTCGGGGGTCGTGTCCTTAGACGAGGACGAGGCAGGGCCGGAGGAACAGTGACCCAAATCATGCCTGGTGGTGGCATGTGTCTCCCGGCTGCTGCTGGGGGCAGAGCTTCTGTGCCCAAGTGCGGGCGAGAGGCTTCCGGCAGAGCTCCAAAGCCTAGAGGGCTCCTGGGAGCACTCACTCCTCCGTTGTGTGTTTTGCATGAAAGTGTTTGGAGAGGAGGCAGGGGCCAGGCTGGGGGCGCATGTCCTGCCCCCACTCCTGGGGTTTGCCGGGGGTTGCCCGGGGCCCCTGGGGCATGGCTACAGCTGTGGCAGACAGTGATGTTCATGTTCTTAAATCAAAAACACCACATACACATTTCCTCCTTGGACGATGTGAACCCCTAAGGGGGTGGTTGTGACTGGGCCGTGTGGGGTGGAACGGGAGGGAGCCCGCCCCCCCCCTGCCCCCTTCCCCATGCCTCTCTCTTCTCTGCTTCTCTCCACCTCTGAGTCCATGTGCAGTGCTCGATAGAATCACCCCTACCCCAGGGCAGGCTGGCTCTTACCCTCCTGGAGCCTAGGATTGAGCCATCCCCCAAGGGCCCCTCGCCCACCTGGGCTCGTGCTGTGCTTCGCCTCTCCATCACCTCTAAATCTTCTTCTTTTTCCTAAAGAAAGAGGGGTTTTGGTCTGTTCTTTCAGTCGGATGTTCTCTGGGAGGCATTGGATTGATGAAAGCATGTACCCTCCACCCTTTTCCTGGCCCCTTGTAGGATGTGTGGGCAGGGTCCCAGCGGCTCCCAGCCTGCCTGGCTGCCCCCATTCACCAAGTTCTCCTTAGAGCCGAGCTGGGAGAAGGGGTGGGTGGCTCTGGTAGCTTTGGAGCTGTGACTTCGCTGTTCTTCCGGAGAGGGTCGCAAGGAGGCCACACGGGTGGCTGGGCAGTTGTCTGCTGATGCCTGAGCCCGGCAGAAATGGTGCCAACGAGCGACGGTCGGTCGTGTGGGAGTGTCTCTCCTTGGGGAGGGAAGAGAGTAGTGCCTTTCTTGGCTGAACAAAAGGCCAAAGCTACAATACTGAGGGCCTGTGCCCTAGCTAGGATTTTGATAACTAAGCAGTGGAGGCCTCTGTAGATCCTGTATTCCACAGACAGTGAGCTCTGGGTTTGATGGCTGCGGGGGGTGTGGGTGGCTGCAGAGTTCGGAGCCTTGTAGGCTTTGGCAGATAAGAGGGCCCAAGGTAAGAACAAGAGCTGATGGGCACAGGCATTCTATATATAAGTGGCTCATTAGGTGTTTATTTTGTTCTATTTAAGAATTTGTTTTATTAAATTAATATAAAAATCTTTGTAAATCTCTATATACATCTGGTCATTGGAGGAGGTTCCAGTATAAACCCATCTTAGTTCTACGAACCCTTTTCCCCTCAGAGGGGGAGCAGGGGTCAAGTGACTCCACCCCTATCCTGCCAGGGGGGATGCTGATCTTCCTGCCCGTGGAATACTTGCAGTTGGGCACTTGGTCAGATTCCAGGTAGGACGAACCAGGAGCTTGGCACCACCCCAGGCCCGGAAGGGAGGCTAGGGCTTCAGCCTTTAGGGTAGCCACCTCCTTTCCCAAGGCAGAAGGAATAGGAGAGCTTCAGGATTGGCCAACAGCCACGGCCACTGCCATCCCAGGCTGCCCATTGAGGGGTTCATTGGCACTTGTCATCGCTGTCAGAAGGGCTCCCCTCCCGGGGGAGGCCATGATGGGAGCGGGGCCCCCAGAGTGCGTGCACCTCCGTGGTCTCCGTGTCACTGCTGCTGGTGGCACTGTCACGGAAGCTGGCGAGGGGCGGCCGGACTTTGACGCCCTGTGCTGTGACGGAGCCCTCGATGGCCTTCCGGAGCTGGAGAGGGGAGAGGGTCAGACACGTGGCCTCTGCGCTCCCTGCTCAGACTCCACCCTCAGGTGGGTTGGACACAAGCCTGCATGCCTTTTTCGAAGCAGAAATGGTGTGATGGCCATTTATCATCTCACCTCCTTTAGAGTGACGATCCCAATGAGCCTGCCAATACTGGTGACATATGCATGGTCCACTCCCAGTAGCGAGAAGACGGTGTGAGTCTGCGGGGTTGGGAGAAAACACACCGGACGTCACGCGCAAGGGCACAATTCTATAAATTACTGGCCAGAGGGTCCCAGGACAAGGTGGGGGATGGGGGACAGGAGGGGTGCCACAGATAGTGGGGGGGAAGGGAGGGCCACCGGAGGGAAAAGAATAATGAGAATGTTTCTGCAGCCAGGCCTCAGAAACTTGATAATGGGTATCTTTATGTTGCTTATGTTGATGGAGAAACAGACAGAGGAAGGATTCTTCGTCCCATGTTGGAAAGGAGGATGATGGAGGAGAGAACAACTGTTCAAATGTGACATCTAATGATTGGCTAGGCACTGGGCTAGGTCTTCCTGAAATTAGCAACTAATTTCAGTCCTGTTCTGAGAAATATGGATGATACCCATCCTACGGGAGGGGCAACATGAGGCTCAGTGGTGCGGTGACTTCACGGCTCCAGAAGGAGCTTTTCATCACACTGTGGGAGGAGGAGACTTAGCGCCAGTCCTGTGCAGATGTCCAGTCGGTCACGGAGGTATCCGTAGCCTTTAGGGGTACCGGCCCTGAGCTCCGTGCCTCTCACCCCACTTTAGTGGCTGACACATGCTTCCCATTTGCCTCCAGCTGGCTGGCAGTTAAAGTGTCCCCTCCTCCGGGCTCCGACACGTCAGTCGTGGCCGGAAGCTCTCTACGTCTCGCGTATAGTTTGGCTCTTCTGGGGCCCAAGTAGCATCCCAGGTGCTGCTGAGATGAAGCCTGAAGTCCAGGGAAGCGACAGCCATCCACATGCTCCCATGTTTTTCTTGGTTTGGGCTCTCCCCCCACCCCCAACTTTTACATGTAATCCCCGAGGGCTCAGAAATTGTCAACCAGCTTCCCTTGTGTTCTAAGTAGATTTTCTTGGGCCAGATGTCTTGAAAAACACTCTACTGACACGGCCCTTCCTGGAATTTGGGGCCTATCACTTATCGCCATGTTTTGAGTTCACTTTTAAGCCTCTTGGCTTAGTGTCTGAATCAAAATGGGCATTACTAACCCAGCTTTTCGAGTACTAGTTACTCAAACTCATTATAACCGTCTGAAAGCTTTAAAAATATTTTCTTAAACAGGTGCTGAATTTTTTTATTAAAGGACTTCCAGAACTTAACTAACTCTCCAGCTAAGGCATGACCATACTTATAAAAGCAGTTAGGAGTTCAGTTTTAGAGTAAGTTTTTCTGTGTTCCTTCAATACTTTTATCACAACTGTCATGTGGTTATTAGCAAGTTCTTCCTCATATCCAACTTCAATCCTACGTGCTGCATGTTTCCTTTAATTTCCTCATCTGACTTCAAAGGGAAACATATCTCTGTTATGAGATTTCTTGTCCTAATAATCCTGTAGCTTTGTCTTCTTATGGTTTAATAATCCCTCTATCTTCTCCCAAGTATCCTACTAAATCGTTCCCCTGGATTTTTCTTTCTCTCCACAGTCCTAATGAGAATGAGCTTCTGGCAGGCTACGTGCCTTTTAGGTTTGCAAACCACTGGTCCCTGGCAGTCACCAAGCGCTGCTGATCTGCTTCTTGAGCATCTTGGCCATCCTCTCTGACTCCACAACATCCTCATGGGGTCTGTTTTTGGTCTCCCTTCCCTCCAACTTGGCTCTGCCATCCTATGAGCTTTCTCAAACTTGAGTTAGAGCCCAGACGCCCCAGTATGGCCCACAAGACCCTTCCCAAAGCCATACCAGCTGGTCTTTCTGGCCTCGGATTCTGCCAGGCCCTCCAGCTTCCAGCCTCACATAATCATTCATCTTTTCTCTGAAAACGTCCATTTCTTACACACGTCAATCCTTCCCTCGCTACACTACCTTTTAAAGTCCCCAACTGTCTGCCTCTCAGTACAAGCAGTGGTAGTAGTCATTCCTCACATATACGGAACTTCTACTATGGCCAGCACTGTTCTAAAATCCTGTATCAAATCCTTCATCCAAAGAAAAACCTCTGCTAGGGTACTGATCCCCATCCTACCGATAAGGAAAGTGAAGCCCAGAGAGGCTAAGAAATTTACCAAGGCTCCCCAGCTAGCTGACACATGGCGGACTGAGGATTTGGGTAAAGCCTGGCTGGCCCAGCTTTGACACCCTAGCCTCTCCTGCCTCCCCCACTGCTTGTCTGTAGGTGGCCTCAGAATGAATGCGGCATCTAGCTGGTGTGGCTGGCCAGCTCTAGACTCGTGGCTTCCTAAATAGTTTCCAGTGAATTCCCTCTCCTCCTGAATGTTCTCCTCCTGAACTTGATTAGGCTACTACTAATTGATTCCTCAGGCCTGCAAGGACATTTTGAATTCTAATCTTTTATGTTCTTATCGCTTCCAGTTCTTTGTACTTTTGTTGGTCGGTTCCTCAAAGGCTTCTTCTCTTCCTCTGATTTTTAAGTTTGTAACAAACACCCACTTTGTTCTTTTTTATTTTAATTTAATTAGACACCGGGGAGCCCATTGGAGGTCCTGCACATCTTGGGCTTGGGAACAGTGGATTGACAGGGAGAGGAACAACAACGTGGCCATCTGAAAGAATCCTGGGATTGGGGCCAGGAAATCTGGGCTCTGGGCCTCATTCTGCTCTATTGACTCAGGCAAGGGACCTCCTCACTGCCTCAGTCTCCCCGCGTATTAAAGTGGTTAAGTCCCCAGGCTTTTGGGTCAGACCATCTTGGGTTCCAGTCCAATTGTGCTGCTTACCAGCTGTGTGACCTTGGGCAACTTGCTTAACTTCTCTGAATCTCAATGTCCTCATCTATAAAAACTGGGATATCACAATATCTATTTCACAGTCTTGTTATGAGGATTAAATTAAACATGAAGAACTTGGCAAGTGCCTGGCACAGAAGCAGATACTAAAGAAATGGCAACATTCTTATCACCATCATCATTATGGGACATTTGAGGACTAAGTAAGATGATAGAAAAGCTTTAGAGGTCTTAGGAAGAAAGGCTTTAAATAAAAACTCAGTGTATTCTCAGGCCTATAGATTTTTTTCTTGCAACTGCACTGTAGTTCCCTAGTCACTTTGATCTGAGGTCTTTACCCAAAGGCTTATAAGTTCCTTTATTGCCTTTTGCTTTTTTTTTTTTTTTTTTTAGTTATTGCCTTTTGCTTTTCTGTTTCTTTGTGCCCCGTGCTTTCTGGCCCAGCCCCTGCTTGTCCGAGATAGGCTGGCTCTTCCGCACAGCTTGCACTTCAGCTAGCTGCCGGGGCTGCAGACCTTGGGAGTGTTCCTCCGCTGCCGTTGGAGGCATGCAGGATTTAGCTAAAATACTTGGTTTCTACCCCAGCACCCTGCCGGGTTTGCCTGCATTCCCTTAGAAGCCTGAAGGTGCCCGATGATGCCGCTGCTCTATGCTGGGGAGCCCCCACCCTCTGGCGTCAGCCTCACCCTCCACCAACCTGTCTGCACTCAAGTTTTCTCCCCACTTCTGCAGGCCAGTTTGCCCTCCTCCTGGGCTATCTTCCTGTGTCCCTACCAGTTTTCCTTTGGCCTACATTAAGTCAGACTTTCTGGGGTCTGACATTCCAGGCCCCCCACTGGGCGTTTCTCATCTTTGTTTATCTCTTCTCTGCAGTGTCCCCACCCCTACTTGGATGTTTGTTAGCTTGTTTATTAGATTTTCTTGTCCTGCTTGTTTCTCACCCATTTTTTTCAGCGGGGGTGTAACAGCCTTGTTGGGTGCTGGCAGTCTCCTGCATGCCTCTGACCCTCGCCTGGCCTTCTGGCTTCCACCCAGCTGAAACCCTGTCTTTGTTGCTGCTTTGGTCCAGAGTTCCCAGGGGGCAAGGCTGAGCAGGGGAAAAATGATGCCTGGCTCCACGGTAGGCAGGAAGAGGCTAAGGGGCCCTGGCTCCCGGCCTCCCATCCTTTGAGGCAGTGTGTCTGAAAAACATCTCAGCCAAGAGCCCAACCTCTGCTGTCCTGTTTTCCCCCACTGGCCTGCGTCCAAACTATGGGCGGACCTAGATCCCCACCCTGTGTTCCTGAGAGCCCAGGCCGGCCCCAGGCCAGGGGCCATGGCCCCTACCTTGTGCAAAGAGGTCCGCTCCACCAGCTGGAAGGGGGCGGGGTCAATTTTGCAGTCACTGAAGTTGACAGGTTCATCCAGTTGCTGTTCTTCCCACTCCAGAATCTGAGAGGATGAGACTAAGAGGATTAGGAGGAAGGTGCCAATAGCTGCTCTCGCCTCCCTGAAAGCTGGCCTGCCCCTTTTCCCACCCACGGTCCCTCCCCACGGTCCCTCCCATGGGGACAGCCGCCAAGATGATGACTGCACATTCCCAGGCAGAAGGAGGGTCCAGAGTCCAGTCACACCTTACCTCCTCAGGGGTCATCTCGCCTTCCAGGTCTGAGTCACTCTAGGAGAGAGGGAGGAAGCTTGACAGCTAGTGGCTGGGGGGAGGTGGAGGTGGGTGTACCCCCCCCAGCTCAGGGAGGCTGATGCCGCTAGAGCCCAGCCCTCCCCGGTTAGTGCTCCTGGGCTGCAGGAAGAGAGGGAGCACTTACCGCCAGGGAGATTCGGACCCGCTTCAGCTTGCGCGTGTCACATGATTCCGACTTCTCCAACTTTGTTAGAGCCAGAGAGAAGAGGAGTTGATGTTACAGGGAGGGAGGTGAGGGTAAGCGGTGGAGCTGAGAGGAAGGGCATGCAGCAGGGACAGAGCTGACATCTGGGAGGGCAGAAGGGCAGGGAGAATGGAGGCAGGCTTTGCAGGGTAAATGGAGAGGTGGTCTTAGTGTCAGAGAGAGAGAGCTGGAAAGAAAGAGACAGAGAGACTCCAACCACTCACCTCTGAAGCAGCCTCAGGGGTTGGACTGCCACAGAAGAGGCTCCTGAGGGCGATGCCTGCCTGCTCCATGTTCCCTGTGTTCCCAAACACAAGGTGGGGGGTGGGGGTGGGGTGCAATGTCATCTTTGAGGGAGAGGACCAGCAGAGGTGAGGAGGGCGAGAGGAGAGGTGTCCTGGTTCTACCCCTGGCCCATCTGGGCAGCCTCTTACCTGGGATATGCTCAAGCAAAATCTCAGGGGCTGGGTTCTGGCTGTTAGTGGGAGACAAGCTCACCTGTGGGACTCTCCCCGAGATTCATGGTGTTGCTGGGCCCCCTCTTGAGAGCAGGCTTCAGGGGCTTGTGAGTCTCTCCCTGGGCTGCAGGGAAACCTGAGTCCTCTGTGTTCACCTGCACGGGCAAGGAAGGGGCTGGTGAGGCTATGGCCCCAGATCGCCTCTATGTCGCCCTCCCAATCAGTCTACATGACATTTAGGAAGTTTGTGTGACTGTGGGGTTTTCCTCCTCACCTGGAATCGGACGGATGTCTCAGGGCTAGGGGAACACTCCTGATCAGAAGGTGGAGAGGTCTGGGCAGCTCGACGCTCTTGCATGTACTGCCGCCGGCGGGCTGTGCTCAGCTGGGCCCCCAGCAATGCCACCACCTGTGAGCGCTCAATGGAGCCCAGGAGGATCATGGACTCTGGACAGAGCAGGTGGGAGGACTCAGGAGCTGGGGGTGAGGTCCTCCTACCCACCCCCCGGCCTTCTTTCACACCCAGAGTGTGGCCTTGGACATAGGCCACACACCAGAGGGAACTCCTGGCTGGCAAATGCTGGCCTGCTCCCTTTGGAACCAAGGAGACTGGTTCTGAGCTTCCTGCGCCCTCCCCCTTCCTGAGTGGCAACCCTGGGAGATGCCCCTAGCACTGGGGTCCCCTCCTGGTCTCACCAGGGGACTCTACTAGGGCCAACATGCGGCCCTTGGTCCTGTGCAGTGCCAGCCGAAGGTCCCGGAAGGTGCAGCTGAGGGCCACGTGGGGAACATCCCGCACCATTATGTCCTCCACTCGCATCCGGTACTGCCTGAGGGCAGAGACATGAGGCACTTGGTTTGTGGTCAGGATGGGGAGGGTAGCCCAGCTGCACTACGTCCCAGGACCATAAAGAAGGCCCTAGCCTGTGGGCATGAGGGCTAAGAGCCAAGGAGTCTGATCAGGAGGGGCCAGCCACAGCTTCCCCAGCGTGTGGACGGGGCAGCTCTGACCAGGAGGGAGCAGGATGGCTGGTCTTCTAGCTTCACTGTCTGAGGACCTTGCTGGAGGTGGGTCTGAGGGGTCCTTCTGACCCTCCCCCGCACCCCCCTTGTTGCCCAGCCCTCCATACTGGTGGCGGCCCCAGCCCAGCTCAGGCAAATAGGGCAGTTTCTTGATCCGGATGATGCTGTCGTAGAGCGAGGGCTGTAGGCTCTGGGCAACGGCGTTGGCCAGGATGACGGCGATCATGACGGGGAGGATGTGGGCGATCTGGCCCGTGAGCTCGAACACAATCACGGCCGTGGACACTGTGTGTGTCACTGCTCCTGCCAGTGCAGCGGCCCCTGGAGATAGCCACCCTCAGTTTCCCCAGGGTGCCCAGGCCCCAGACGACCCTCCCCGCCCAGAGATGGTCCTCTGGGGGCCCTCGGCGCCTCCCAGTACAGACCTGGAGATGGGCTTCTGTATCTGAGGGAAGCCTGGTTCCTGCCAGCAGGGGGCACCAGAACCTCAGACACGTGGCCAGACCAGGGGTCTTCCAAGACAGACGGGGACCGGGAGCACTCACCCACCACTGCGTAGCCTCCGGGCACGATCCGGTAGGTGCTGCTGTCAGTGTGAATCCCATCTGGGAACCAGGCAGCCATGCTTTCGCCCACCAGCCGCCCAAATGCTGCTCCTTCAGGGAGGGGGGTGGGAAGAGAAACAGGTAGTGGAGGGGGAGGGCGGGGGGCACTAGGAAGAGAGAGGGTCAGTGGGTCACTCAGTACAGGGGACAGTCAGGGGGGTGGGGGTTGGGGCTGGACCAAAACCCGCTCCCAGGCAGAGAGGGGACAGCCAGCGGGTGGGAAGGGTGCAGGCTAGGAGAGCAGGCAGCCGAGGACTCACCAATGACAAAGACTGGCATGAAGGCCCCACAGGGCACTGGGATGGTGGTGGCCAGTGCAGACATCCAGAACTGTGGGCGGGAGGCAGTTCAAACAGGTAGAGGCACCCCCAGGCCCCAGGCAGCCCCCAGCTCCACCCTGAGGAGCCTACCTTGCTTATCAGGCACAAACTCCCAGCTATCCCAGAATCCCCCAGAGGCGAAGGAAGGACGAGGACTCCAGAACCAGATGGCTTGGGTTCAAATCTCACTCTGCCATCTCGCTCTGGGCCAGTTATGTAAGCTCTTTGGGTCTCAACTTCCCATCTTTAGGACAGGGCTACTGACAGTACCTTTCTCATAGCATTGTTGTGAGGCTTAAGAGGAATTACTATATGGAAAGTTGGAAAGTGCTCAGAACGGTGTCTGGCACCTAGTAAGCCCAGGTCAGCACTAGCTATATATACACACGTAAGGAGCCCCACCTTCATGAGAATGAAGATGACCAAGGTGAGGAAGACGTTGGCACGTGGTGGGCTCCAGGCCTGTGAGGTTCCTGGCGGCTCCAGGTCCTCCACCAGGCCCTGGCGGACCCATGTCCGGTTGTCAAACAGGGTGACCAGAGTTTCTTTCTGTGAGAGCTATAGGTGAACAGGTGTGCCTCAGGCTGGGGAACAGCCAGGATGAAGGGAAGGGGCCCCCAGGAGAGCAAAGGCTGTTGGCTTTAGAAGGGATGTACCCCAAGGGAGAGCACAAGTGTCTGTTCTGCCTGGATTTACCTGTCCGGCCATGAACTGTCCAAAGCCAGGGGGGAAGGTCAGAGTGGAGATGAGCAGGGTCACCAGAGCCGGGAAGAGCAGGCGTCTAGAGATGTAGGTTTTATAGCATCAAACATGGGTGGTGTACCTACTACAGACTGGTGATAGGCTGGGTGCCCTCACATACCTCAGGGCTGAGATCACAGTAGTCTTGGCCCTTACATAAAAGCGCACAGTTGTGAGAGAAGGTCCCCCTTGCTGTTCATGATGTGATGGCCCCAAGGGTGGTGGCCATCTGGGGTTATTATAAGCCCAAATGCTTTTCTGCCAAGTAGGTAGCAGAAGGTCCACCCCCCACCCCCCAGCCCTCTCTTGGACACCTCTGAGCTGTGACTCCTCCCCATGCTCTCAGAAGCCCCAGCTGAAGGGCGCATTGTGTGAGTGTGGAGAAGTTTTTGCCTCTCTCTGTTTCTCTGTGGTGGCTTAGAGTGAAGGTTGAGTGTTGGGGAAAGCTGGGGCCACTCAGGAAGTTGATCAAAGGTGCCAGAGGGAGCAGGTTCAGTGGGCTGCCCTTTCTCTGAAGGACGTCAGCCCCAACAGAAGTCACGTCTCAGGCCTCCCCACTCCTAATCCTCAAGGTCACAAATGAGAAAAGCTATGCTCTGGAGATAAAAAAAAAAACCTCACCCATCTCCATGATTCAACAGGGGGATGTTAAGGCTCAAACACTCTCCAGGGAGCACTGCCATCCGGCCAGACCAAGGGCCTAAAGAAGGCTTAGTCTTTTTTTTTTTTTAAATATATATATTTTAAAATTTTATTTTTAAGTAATCTCTACACCCAATGTAAGGCTCCAACTTACAACCCCGAGATCAAGAGTTGCATGCTCTACCGACTGAGCCAGCCGGGCGCTCCATGGAAGTCTTCCTCTTTGATCTAAGATGCCTTGACTAAAAATTCAGAAGTGCCAATTCTGAGGTAATCCATATAAAAGCCAAAATGTTCAATCATCCTGGAAAACACCATTGGCTGATGTTCTCAACGAAGTGCTGCCTTTCATTGGCACCTTTAACTACTATTTGCCATCTCACCTGTCACTGGCCCTCCCACCCTTGCACGACCCAGAGAGGCCTAGGGAGGAGAGGCCAGATCCAACTCACTTCTTCATGAGGAAGCGGTTGATGGTTTTCTGCTTCCGCATCACCTGCACAATCTTCCTGTTCAGGTAGACAAAGAGCGCTCCCCCAAAGCCACTAGCAATACTGGAGAGGGGAGAAGCAGCAGAGTCAAAGGGGGGTCTTCCCTCTTTTACCTCCCGGTCCCTGATGCACCCCGGCTCCCTGAGCTCCTCACCCGATGACAGCAAAGGCGGGTAGCTCCTGGAGGTCGAAGGGAAAGTCAAGCCGGAAGCGGGTTTTGAAGAGAGCCGTGATGGTCTCTGAAAGGGAAGCAGAGGACCAGGCCGAGGCAGGGGCAGTGCTGCGGGCCCCCACCCGAGCCATCCCAGGGGCTCCCCTCACCCCCCAGCCCCCACCGCCCCCCACCTTCATCACGGTTCCAGACTGCCAGGACCCGGAAGATGAAGGCGCTGAAGGTGGCGGCAAAGAAGCCCCGCCAGTAGTTTCGCACAGCAAAGAAGGTAGAGGTGACCTCAATGCTGAACAGGACACCTGTGCGGGGACAAGAGTGCCGCCTGAGGCCCAGGCCCAGATGAGAGGGGCAGAGGACGGGAGGCCACGGGCAGGGCAGTAGGGCTCAGCCGACGGCCTACCTCCAATAGGTGCCGCGAAGCAGCAACCCACTCCCACGGCGCAGGCTGCGGCCAGCATCTCTGTGTTCCGGGATTCGTTCTGGCAAGAGCCGTGGAGGCAGAACCGGGCTGTCGGCACAGCCGGCCGCTTGCCCCAGCCCTCTGCCTTCCCCCAGGGCTCCCCCTCACCTCGTAGATGCCCCCAAAGAGGGAGAGGAACTTGCTGAGTAGGGCAGCACACATGCTGGCGATATGCACGAAAGGGCCCTGGGGGGTGGGGGGTAGGGACAAGTGGTGAGTAAGGGACACACCCTGACCTTGGCCTGTCTTCTTCCTCCCTTGGGAGGGACTCCTTCATGCCCCAACCCGCAGTTACCTCTTTGCCAAGGGGCATCCCGCTGCCCAGGGCACAGGTCAGCCCAATGACCTTGGCTACAAAGGTCTTCAGGGTGAGGTATTCCTTCAGCACTACCCCGCGCAAGATGGTCTTCATCTCAGGGATGCCGGACCCTGGAGAGGTTAGGGTCCCACGAGAGTCATTCGATGTGCCCATTTCAGGAGGTTCCCCTCTCTGCCCTCCCCTTCTCTCTTATTGTACCGACAGCCTGAGGAGCCAGGATCTGTGTAAATCCAGCTGAGAAAGTGATGAGGACGATGGGGTAGGTGACCCAGGCCAGGTACTGCAGCAAGAGGCTGGTGTTCAAGCCCTGGGACATCCACTGTTGAGCTGCGGGGAGAAGACAAGCTGCTGGACCCCAGATGCACACACCCAGTCCCCACCTAGCCACTGGGACATACTGATATGACAAGCTGTCCCAGGGAATATTGATCACAGAGAGCATGGGCACAAGGCGTAGCGAGGGGGCCCTAGAGGACATTCTTTGGGACAAAGATCACAGTGGGTAAAAGGGTCAGTCGGAGAGGGGAGGCAAGAAATTGAGGCCTATGGGAGGGGCAGTGGTTATGCCTGAAGAGGGGGCAGTCAGGCTGGCTGGGGAAGGTGGTCAGGGACCAAGTAGCCAAGCTACCTGAACAAGTGTGGCATGGAGGAAGCAGGTTGGTTCCTCCCAGCCTTCCCCCTGCCAGCCCTTGTCCTTACCCTGCAGACAGGCAGCGATGGCATAGTCCATGGCCCAGCTAACCAGAGCCATGAGGAGCCCCAGCAGGACCAGGAAGATCCAGTCTTCACCAACCCTGGACACTAGGAACTTATGGCAGCGTACGGAACAGACTGCGAGCCGGGAAGGGAAGAACAGGCAGGCTAGCACCAAAGTGCTCCTACCTCTGCCCCCACCCCCAACCTCCCACCTCCCAGTGGGTAGCTCTATGGCCCCCAGCCCCCTCAGCACAGCACCGCACAATGCATAGCCATGTCTCCTGCCCCAACCCAGGTCTCACTGTGGCATCGGGCGCAACGGCTCTGTCCATATTCCAGAAGCTCTGGGGGAGCCCGAGGGGAAGGCGGACCCCTCCAGGTCTCAGGCCCTCCCAAGCGAATCCGAGCAGCTTCCTCTTTGGCAAAGGCCCCAAGCTCCTGAGTATATCGGCCATACATCTGCGCAATAGGGAAGATGGGGGCATTAGCAGATGTGAGCTGAGTCGGGGACCACTGCATCCACTCCCCTTCTCCCAGCCTCCACATTATATGCTCCCTCCTGAACCCCCAGTTCCCACTTTGGCTTGGGGTGTGGAAACAAGGCACACTGCAGACTGTGGGGGCTGTCCTGGCCAGAGTGATGGGGACAGCCAAGGTACAGGGCACACTGCTGGGGGTGGCAGAATAATTGGTCCTCTTCTCACAAGCCTGCTTGGGAGCGCGGAGGAGGGGTGGGAGGGAAGGCCCCAGAGGAGGAAAAGATGGAAAAACCTAAGGCAGGCTGCAAGTGGGAGGAGGGAAAGTCAGAGAATAAGGGATGGTCAAGGACGGAAGGGGAACAACAATGAGGGCCTCAGGGAGCTGGGGGCAGCTGAGTTGGGCCTAGGAGCAGGCGGGGCCTCAATCCTTATCACGTTCTTGCTGGGCCTCTAGCCTGTGACCAACTCAGCTGTACCCTTCCCACCCACCCTAATCCCCTTGTCCCCATTCTCCACCCCTACCCCCCCACACCAGCCTGCCAGGCCAGCTGGGAGTGGAAAGTCTCTGGGTGGGTGGAGAGGGCTGGGTGGCCTCAGCCCCACTCTGGAGCTGCCCTGATTCCAGTGGTGGGTTGGGGGTCGGCAGTAGCTGATGGCTGGGCTATGACTGGGGATGTTGGGGTGCTGGGATGGGACAATCGCTGAGCCTCAGCTAGACCTGCCAAGCTGGGCGTGTGTTGGGGGGTGGGGAGGAGTAGATTCTGGCTGCCACCCGCAGAGCTTCGGGACACAAAGGGCTCCTGTTGGGGCTAGGGTTGGTGGGGGGGGTGGTGGTGGGAGGGAAAGATAGAGACAGAGACAGAGACAGAGAGAGAGAGGGAGAGTGATAGGGAAGAAAGGGAGGAGAGGGAGGCAGAGAGAGGAGAAAGGGGAAAGGAGAGGCCAGAGGAAGGGGCAGAGAAGAGAAAGGAGGAGAGGAGAGGGGAAGGAGGAGGAAAAGAGAAAAAAGTAGAGTACAAAGAGGCGGACACAGTGCAGGAGGGGGAGGTGAGTGTGTGAGAGAAAGACAAAGGGATTAGAAGGAGAAGGGGGGGAGGCTGGAGCAGAGGGTGTTCGGGAGAGAGCGTGACCCTGAGGATTCATTCCAGAGATAGAGACCAGGCGGAGGAGGTGGAGATGTGGCTGGTGCAACAGAGAGACACCATTTCGGAGGTCAGGTGCCTGGCTTCCTTGACCCAAGCCCCATTCTCAGCTAGCGTAGCACCACGACGCCAAGTCCTGCCCCTCTCCCTTCTCCACCCCCCCGCCCTTGCCACCTCTCCCTGTCATCCTGTTTCATCCAGTCTCTCTCTTATAATGGGCACCTCCCAGCCCCAGCTACAGCCCAGGACCCCTCCTCCTGGAGACATTCCCTTCCTGCCTCCTTCCTGGGCAAATTCCAACCCAAGCTGGTGAAAAGGAGCCACAGGGCCCACTCCCTTCCCTCGAGTTTGGGTCCTCTGCCCAGTGACACAAGAAGGGGCAAAAAAAAAAAAAAAAAAGGCTTCTCAAACACTAAGTTACAATGGTGGCCATGAGTCAGCTCATAGCCCCAGGACCCCTGCTTCTAATGAGGTTAAGGGACACCCCTGAGGTGGGTGGGGGCTGGATACCCAGAGTCAGCATGGACAAAGGTCCCAATTCCCACACCCATTCCTGCTTGACACATCCTCCCTAAAGCTCCCGAACCCCCCGGGGTGACGGGCCACCTCTTCCCCCAGAGAATCTGGAGGTTCCTGCCAATGCTGGGTTGCCAGCCCCCACCCCCCCAACTCCCACCCCAGCGGAAGGGCTGGGGCTGGGTTTGGGTCTGAACATCTTTCTACACACTCTTGTTTCTACATCCAGTGCAGTGCCACGCACTTAGTGGGGACAGAGGGAATGTCTAGGATGGTGGAAATGGGAGGGAAAAGAGAAAAAGTTCAAGGGTGTGAGTGGTGCTGGGAGGGGTAGTGGGGTGCTGAGACCTCAGCCCAGGTGGTGAGGGGGAGGAGCAAAGAAAACGTGTGTATGTAGGTGTGGTAAAGGGAAGGACACCTGGGATAAGAACCTGAAGTCCTTGTCCTCTGCAGCCCCCCTCCCCCCCCCCCGTCGCCTCAGCTGCATGCAGCCTTCCACCCTTTAGCCCTCCAGCCTCTCAGGCCCTCGAGCCTCAGTTTCCCCAGCTCAGAAGGCGAGGGCGGGCTTAGGGTAGGCCCCCGGGCCTCGCGCTTCGAAGGGTAACCCGGAGCAGCGGTCCGGGAGCGTACTCCTGAGGGCTCGTCTCGGGCTTACCAGGGTCTGCTCGTACTGCAGCGCCCGCGGCTCCATCCCTTCCGCGGCCGCCGCGGCCCCCGCGGCCGCCATCTCTGCCTACAGCCCTCTGGCCTCCCGCTGCGGCTCGGGCCCGGGCCCGGACTCCGTTCCCGGCCCGCAGGGCCCGCGCCGGCACCGGTCCCGTCCCTGCCGCCCGGGCGGCCGAGTGCAGAGTGCAGCGGGCCCCGGGCGGGCGCTGCTGGCTCAGCCTCCCGCTCGCGTCCCCTCCTCGGCGGGCGGGCCGAGGGCGGTGCCCTCCGTGCCGCTCCGCCCGCCCGCCCATCCACGGGGGCCGGCCCAGCCGGGCGGGGGGCTGCGTTGGGGCCGCCGCCCAGGCTCCGGGGAGGCGGCAGGGGGCGCTTGGAACGTGCTAGCTGGCGCCCCCTCTGCGCGAAGGCCTGGGACTGAGAGGGGCGCCGGGGGCCGGAGTGGGGGCGGGTCCGCTGGCACGTGGATGGGCCGGGCTCGGCCCGCGGCGCGCGGGGAGCCGGAGCAGGAGGGGCTGGAGATGCCGGGACGGTAGGGCCTGGGGCCCGGGGCTGCAGAGCCGTCTAGATCAGACTCTGGGCTCAGTCTCTCAGGAGTGGCGCCCTCTCTTGCTTCTCCGGAGGGGTCGGCGGCTCAGACGGGCCTGGCAAGGCCCCTCTGCTCTGTCGAGGGTGAGGAGCAAAGCTGGGGGGACTCGGAGGGGGACGCTAGGCCCAGAAGGCGGGGGTGAGGAGGTGATGCTCGGAACTGAGACCTTCGGTCTCTCTCATTCTCTTCCCTCCTCCTTTTCTTCCTCGCGACTCCCCTAGGAAGTCGCACCTGGAATAACCCGGCCTGCGGGGTGTACCCGGGTGGAGGTGGGGAGGGAAAGTGAAAGGCTGAGGCCCCAGGGAAGAGATGTCGAGGTGCCGGCGAGGCCGCTCCTGGAAGATGGGCGTGGGGGTACAGAGGTCGCTTTTGCCTGGCAGGGCCCAAGGAGAAACTTGAGTAGCTACTGACGACTCGCCACTATGGGGGAACAGCCTGCTGGGGCTCTGCGTTCTCTATCAGGGTCTGGAGAAGGACAGAGCAGAGGGTGGGGTGAGCACAGGGTGGATGGGCAATGTAAGAGATAGTGTTAGGGGAGAGGCCAGTGCCCAGGAAACAGGGAGTGTGCGGGAGGACGCCGTACCAGGATGAGGGGGCATGTGGGAGGCAGAGGCAGTGCCAGAAAGAGGGCAGTGTGAGGAGCCAGCACCCAAGAGGAAGGGGCAGTATAAAGGAAGAGCTGGTATCCGTGGGCGAGGACAGTGCCAATGAAGGGGCACACAGATCAGCGTCCGGAGGGAGAAGGCAGTCCCAAGCTGAAGGGCCAGCGCTCAGGAGGAAAAGAGCAGTGTGATGGCTGGTTTTAATGCCGGGCTGAAGAGGCGGAGTAGAAGAGTAAGGCCCAGGGGAAGAGGGCAGTGGTAGGGAGGGTGCAGCACCAGGGGAGGGCACAAGTGCAGGCTTTCCTCTTCCCCATAGTGACATCATGGCAAATTCCCAAACGGGACGGACCCGGCTCGGGTGACATCCAGCAGGGCCAAGCCGGTCCGGCCCGGGCCGGGCTAGGCCACCGTGCCAGCTGGGGGGACGGGGCTCTGTGCCCTGCAGGGTCAGCGCGCTGGGGGCGGAGTTCTGTTCCGCCCGCCCTCGGCGCGGACTGTGCCCTCGGCGGGCACGCAGACCCGCAGTGTAAGGCTTGGGCCGGGCTTCTCTGGGCCAAGGATCAAGGTCCCTGGCTGGGGTAGGCCCCCGTGCATTCCAGTCTTCCCGACCCGGACTCTCAAGAGGGCGCAGTAGAGCCTCAGCGTCCGGCGAGAAACCTCGCCACCTCGGCCGGAGGTGGAACTAATCGTGTCCCCGCCCCGGGGCGGAGTTATCCGGCCCTGAGACCCGCCCTAAATCCTGAGGCCTCTCGGAAAGAACCATTAGGGGCGGAAGTTAGGAAGCCCCGAGAGCCAGGCGGCGGAAGTGGTAGCTTTACTGCATGTCCGTGGGCATGCGTTGTTCTCGTTCCTTGCTGCCGCTCTCTAGGCACTATCTTTCCCTCTTCTCTTCTTTTCTCCACGCGAGGGGGAGCGCGTACCCCTAGGCGTGGTCCCGCTCCCAGCCCTCTGCTACTCTCGTGGCCACCTCACCATGGCGGGCATCCTGTTTGAGGATATTTTTGATGTGAAAGACATTGACCCGGAGGGCAAGAAGTTTGACCGAGGTAAGGTGTACGTAGACTTAGGGGCGGTTTAGAGGAAGGGGCTAACCGCCTCGGGGACACGCCCCTGGGCCCTTTGTCCCCCCAACCCACGTGGCCTGCCCCTACAGGCAGTTCCTGATATAGGAATCTCCCTCGGGAAACACTGTATAGATGGGAACACGGAGACTCCGGAACTCGGCCTGGCTTCACACAGGCTGTGCCCTGTGCCTGGGTGGCCTTCTCTCATGGTGCTGGTAAACTGCATTTTTCTAATCGCTCCCCACTCTGTGGTAGGCGCTGTATCGTGCACCTTACATGCATTTTGACCTACCTATTCCTTTCAAGAGCCACCATGAGGTAGTTGGTGTCTTAATCCATTTTGTTCCGAGAAGTTAAGTAACTTACCCAAGGCTGCACAGTGAGTAATGCCGACTTCAGAGCCTATATTCTTGTATTGTCCTAAGAATCTTTAGCTCTTTGTGACGTCCTCTCAGAGTTAGAATTGCCTGCTTGCTATACAGCTCTTTATTCTGTCATTGATCAGTAATCATTCCTCCTTGGTGTCTGTCTCTTCCTTTGCTGGAGACTGAGACGTTCTTCAAGACAAACACCAGTTCTTAGGAGTACTGATAATCCACTCAGCACAGAACCTGGCACAGAAAGACAAAACCTTTGGATGAATGGGTAACTTGCCCAAAGTCAGGTTGTTTCTTTTTTTTTTTTAAATTTAATTTTATTATGTTATGTTAGTCACCACACAGTACATCATTAGTTTTTGATGCAGTGTTCCATGATTCATTGTTTGTGTATAACACCCAGTGCTCCATTCACATGCCCTCTTTAATACCCATCACTAGGCTAACCCATCCCCCCACCCCCCTCCCCTCTAAAACCCTGTTTGTTTTTCAGAGTCCATAGTGTCTCATGGTTCATCTTGCCCTCCGATTTGCCCCCGCTTCATTTTTCCGTTCCTACTATCTTCTTTTACTTTTTTTAACATACAATGCATTATTTATTTCAGAGGTACAGGTCTGTGATTGATCAGTCTTACACAATTCACAGCACTCACCATAGCACATACCCTCCCCAATGTCTATCACCCCCCCACCCCATCCCTCCCACCTTCCACCACTCCAGCAACCCTCAGTTTGTTTCCTGAGATTAAGAATTACTCATATCAGTGAGATCACATGATACTTGTCTTTCTCTGATTGACTTATTTCGCTTAGCATAATACCCTCTAGTTCGGTCCGCGTCGTTGCAAATGGCAAGATTTCAGGGTTTTTTTTTTTGTTTGTTTGTTTGTTTGTTTTTATGGCTGCATAATATTCCATTGTGTATATATACCACATCTTCTTTATCCATTCATCTGTTCATGGACATCTTGGCTCTTTCCATAGTTTGGCTATTGTGGACATTGCTGCTGTAAACATTGGGGTGCACATACCCCTTCGGATCACTACATTTGTATCTTTGGGGTAAATACCCAGTAGTGCAATTGCTGGGTTGTAGGGTAGCTCTATTTTCAACTTTTTTCTTTTTAAAGATTTTATTTATTTGAGAGAGAGAGAGACACAGCGAGAGAGGGAACACAAGCAGGGGGAGTGGGAAAGGGAGAAGCAGGCTTCCCGCTGAGCAGGGAGCCTGACGCGGGGCTCGATCCCAGGACCCTGGGATCATTACCTGAGCCGAAGGCAGACGCCCAATGACTGAGCCACCCAGGCGCCCCTATTTTCAACTTTTTGAGGAACCTCCATACTTTTCCAGAGTGGCTGCACCAGCTTGCATTCCCACCAACGGTGTAGGAGGGTTCCCTTTTCTCCGCATCCTCGCCAATATGTCCTTTCCTGACTTGTTAATTTTAGCCATTCAGTCAGGTTGTTTCTTAATCACCTAGGCAGGCCTAGAACCTGGATATTATTTATTGCCAGAGGACCTGTGATTCTTTTCTGAGATTCTGTCCACTTGCCATAGTTTTCTCCCCTGTCCTGGCATTTCTGGTTCTGATTGAGTCTGCACTTCTTTGGGAGCAGATGAGAGGCTAGTGGATGCAGACTGGGTTAGAATGAGTGTTCAAGTACATATAATCCTCCAGAGTGGGGTCTGCAGGGTCTGCCCTGGGCCTGGCAGTTACCTACGCCACTCTTTCTCTACTTCCCTCCAGTGTCTCGACTACATTGTGAGAGTGAATCTTTCAAGATGGACCTGATCTTAGATGTAAACATTCAGATTTACCCTGTGGACTTGGGTAAGTATTGAACACAGACAATTGCAGGAGGCTTTTTTTCATTTCAGCTGTTCTTCAGCCTCAGATATTGCCATGATTTTCAGGTGACAAGTTCCGGTTGGTCATAGCCAGTACCTTATATGAAGATGGTACCCTGGATGACGGTGAATACAACCCCACAGATGATAGACCTTCCAGGTGAGGAAGTGAAGACGGGAGTACTTGAAATATGCCTGAGGACTAAGTAGATGAGTGGTATAGAAGGATCCTTATTTAATTTGTGGAATAAATGATTATCAGTAGAATCTGAGCAACCTTAAGGAAATTGCTGCACTTAAGAATTCAAACAGCCAGGTGTTTATCCAGGGCAGTGATGACATGCTTGTGGGTTGTAGCTTATTAATCGCTGAGGAGATGACCACTGAGTGACCCAGGCTGTGTGAGCCTTGCATCTTCGGAGGGAGTTTGGTGTGATGGAAAGGCTTTGGAACTCCACTAGAGTTCCAGTCTCAACCCTGCCACTTACTTATTGAATAGCCTTAACCTCTTGCAGCCTTGATTTCCCCGTCAGGAAAGTACAGATGGTCACACCTTGCTCAAAGAGTCCCTGGGAGGAATAAATGGCATTGTGTTTGGAAAACGTCTGTTAGAATGTTGACACTTAGTTACCAGTTATCGTTTTTAAAGGGCTTCTTATTACTGTTAACTACTTTGAAGAATAATCTTGCCACCACTGTTCCACAGGGCCGACCAGTTTGAGTACGTAATGTATGGGAAAGTATACAGAATTGAGGGCGATGAAACTTCTACTGAAGCAGCAACGCGTCTGTAAGTTCCAGGGTCTTGGGAGAACCCTTGCCCCCCAGCCCCGTGCTGATAACCTGAGCTCTGCTCTGAAAATCTGGGCCGTGCTTCATGTTTCCTGGGTTGGGTCTCTCTCCCCAAGCACCTCAGACCTAGGTGGGACCCAGAAAGAAACTGTTGTGGGAACGGTTTCCAGTCTGAAATGTAGGCTGCTCACTTGGCCCTTTGTCAGGACCTCGGGGCCCAAGGGTCCAAATGAGAAACTGATGATCTTGCTATGTGAAGTGCAAAGGAAGGTTTCTTCCCCAGGAACTAGATGCAGCATTAACTGATTAAACTGCTAGGCTTTTTTGTTTTTGTTTATTTGTGTGTGTGTTTTGCTACTCTGGAATCCAATCCCTAGTTCTTTGGTTTCCCTGCCCAACTATTTTTTCTCTTCTTTAAAATTTTATTAAAACAATATGTGCCCCTTGTAAGAAATTTGAAAAGCAGAGAAGTAATGTGAAGAAGCAAAAAAAGTCACCTATAGTTCCATACCCAGAGGGAATCTTTTACATAAACATTTTTAAATATTCTAGGTTTTTTCCTGTGTACTTTTTTCTTTGAGATCACATTTATTACAATGTTTTCTCCTGCTCTTTTTCTTCAAGTTATGTAAAACAGGTTTCCCCATGTCAGTTTCAAGCTTTTCCTAAACATTTTAAAAAAAATTTTTTTTTTTTTTTAAGATTTTATTTATTTGAGAGAGAGAGAGCACAAGCACGGGGAGCAGCAGAGGGAGAGGGAGAAGCAGGCTCCCTGCAGGGAGCCTGCTGCGGGACTCGATCCCAGGACCCTGGTATCGTGACTGGAGCCGAAGGCAGACACTTAACCAACTGAGCCACCCGGGCGCCCCTCTCCTAAACATTTTAATAACTGCATAACATTCCAGTAAATGGATATATCTTAATTCATTTGACCATTTCCATTATTCTGGGCGTGTAGCATTTTTCACTCTTGTTGATAAAAAGAACACTTCTTTGCACAAATTTGTGCATTCATCCTTGTCTGAATTTTGGTTCCTAATGACAGAACACTAGAAGGGTACCTCTTTTTCTTAAGCTGGGATGGAGAGCCATTAGGTCGCTGCCGCTCCAGAGCTTAAACTCATGGTACTGGGGCCTTCTGTTTCAGCTCTGCCTACGTGTCCTATGGTGGCCTGCTCATGAGGCTGCAGGGTGATGCCAACAACCTGCATGGATTTGAAGTGGATTCCAGAGTTTATCTGCTGATGAAGAAACTGGCCTTCTGAAGCACCCAGGAAGCCAACCTTGCTGCTTAGTCACTCAGGACTTGGACATCCATTCGAGCCTGAGGAGCAGTTACTACTGACCACCTGTTCAGGAAGGGCTGGCTGGCTGGCCACTGGGGGTGCATCTTTAGGTGGTCTGGACTCAATGGGAAACTTACCTGTGAAAGACCCAGTGGGAGGGCTTAAAAGGAATCAGAAGTTGTTTGTGTATATGATTTTTTAATTAAACTTTACTTTTTCAGACTCTTTTCCCCACCTTAAAAAAAAAAAATCTTTTCCATTACTCTAAAATCATTTTTTTCCAATTTGCCTGTGGTATATTGTATTTCTGGCCCACAGCCAGATGATCACATGTCAATGTAGGATCTATTCTGACCTTTTGGTATCTGGGTTTAGGGTTATCTCAGCCTCCTGGTTGACTATCCCCAACATTTATTCTCCAATGTGATTTTCTCTCTGGGAGAGAGAGTATTGTGCTTTTGGCTCTTGAGGGCACCCCAGCCCCGGAAGATACCACCCATTTGGCATAGAATTTTGAATTGGCAAGGAGCCCTGCTTGTGTCCTTCCAACACTTTCAGTCTCTTAGGAAGTCAGATCACGTTGATTTGAATGAGTCACTTGCACAGCCTGGAAATGTTCATTTTTGTGGAAGCTTTGGGTGGAGGCTTTTAGATGCCGGCTTGGGACCTGACTACGAGGAGAGTAGGAAGAGAAGATTTGGTGATTGTAGGAACAGGTGGAGGAGCTAGGTGTCTGCTCTACATTCCCTTGGCGACCTGGAGGGCAGGGTAAGTGGGTAGGGGTGGGGGACCAGTGACACTGAACAGGCAGCTGCTGCACAGACCAGTGCAGTGGACGGGGCAGCAATACCAATGAGGTTGGCAGTCCAGTGGCAGGCAGTACCCAGGACAGTGGAGCAGCCTGAGTACAGTCACTAACTTAAAACTGGGCAAGAACAAAATTGAGGAAGTGGTGATGCTCACTAGGACTCCAGCATATGAGCTGGCTCTTCAGTCTGGCATTCGAGGTCTCTGAGAAAGTATCCTGGACTCTGATTTCCCCTGGGAAATTCAGGGTAGCAATCCAGAAAGATGGCGAGTGTGTATTAAGGAGTTTTGTCTTTTGATCTCCTGGCTTTGCCTGGGGAGCCTGTCCCCCTGCTGGGATGCCCAGGGGTGTTTCCTTCCCCGTCATTTTCAGGTCTTTACATGAGGTGTTAGAAATAGTATTTAGGGAAATGGGCTGAAAATGAATGATCTCTGCGGGCGGGGAGGAAAAGGTGTTTCTTTGGTTTACTATGTGGGGGGGATAGAAGATGCAGTGGGGGTTGGGATGAATTTTTGTGGACTCCTAGAACTTTTACATGGAGTCAGATTTTGGGGGGTGTTTGAGAAGGATGGGTTTAGGTTAGAGTCGGAGAACCTAATTCCCAGTAATAGTTTGTGGGGTAGCATAGCACACTATCCTGGCTGCCCTGGGGTGGCAGAAGAGAACTGGCATGCAGTCGGATAGAAGGGTGTTCTGGTTGTAACAGATTTTTGCATTTTGTGGAAAGGGAAGAAGGGATAGAATCAGCCTGACGAAGTTTTGGGAAGGGTTAGATTCTCAATAGGGACAGCTTAGTTCACACTGGAAAAGCCCATGAGTTATTTGCATTTGCCCTAAAATAGGTCAAATGCCAATCCTGGATGCCTGGAACTTACTGGCTGTATACTTCTTGCTGTTTTGCCGTCCTTGTGTCTCATCTGACTGTGCTGAGAACCCTGAAGCCTTTGCTCTTGGTCCCTTTGGCATATCTTGTCCTGGGTGCTAACTCTTTCATGGGCCACAAAGTTCTTCATTTGGTTATTACATTTAGCCTAGTTTGGTATTTCAGTAGATTACAATTTCCACTTATCGTTCTCTTGACAGCATGCTGGAATTGGTAGTGTGGAACAACTGTTTTCTCCCATGCAAAAACTGACACCCTCTGAGATCTGAACAACACTTTTGAGCTTTGTGCATTTGTCGATTCCTTCTCCATGGCAACAGTTCCATCCATGATGGGAAAGGAGGACACCTGGAGATGTCTAAATTGGTCACCCCGTCCAAGAACTTTGGTTTTCTACTCAGAACTCTTTAATTGTTGATGTATTTCCTCCCTCAGGACTTGGACATCTTTTCTAATAAGCACAATCACTGAGTGATCTGTTGGACAGTGCACCACACTAGGGACCGTACGGGCTCTAGTCAGCTCAGGCTGTTTCTTCTCTTCTTGCTCACAGGCTGTGTGAGCACTGAGAGCGTGCCTGGCTTCTCTGAGACTGATAGCATCCCCAGCCTGATAGAGGTGTGTGAGCACTATAAAAGGTAACCTACATAAGGCTCTTGGCACACTGGCTTTCATTCTTCTTTACTGGTCCTGGGGTATTTGTGGCGGTGTTTGGAACTCTGGGATCTTGGCTTTTTTACCTACATGGTAGTGTTTCCTCTCCTTTGGGGGAGTTGAGAGGGGGGGGAAGAGGAAAAAGCTTCTGTTAGTTTTCCTACAGGAGCCTCTAGCTGTAGGGTTGACCTTTGCAATGGAGTTTTTGTTTGGGGCACCATAAACCTTTTCCTAAGCACCACGGTAGCACTTATTTGCAAAGCCCCATAAGCCGGGCTTCTTCTCCAGAGAATTCTTAGCAGAATTCATGGTGGTCACATAGGGCTGCTTTTTAGATACCGTGGACTTCTGGGAATTGGGAAATGAGCCTTCAACTTGTACTTGTCCCTCCCGCTGTGTGAGCCCTGGGAGACTGACTCTTGCCACTTCCTGCACTTCCCCCTGACCTCCACAGGAGGGAGGCAGGAACCCGTGCCTGGTGAAGCTTCCTGCTGAGCTGCTGAAGCTCTCGCTGTTTGCTCAGCTGTCCCATCCAGGTTTTGTCTTGACTGAACTGTCTGCAGGGCCTTACCTGGGGTGTGAGGCTCTCCGAGGCTTCCTGTTAACTTTTTGGAGGGGAGGGAAGGGGGAGATCTATTGCCCCCTGAAGAACCTTTTTCCCTTGCTTTTCAGTTAGCTTTTGGGTGTTCTTATTTATTCTTTATTTATATAGGCCCAGTTTTGTTGATTGTGTAAAGACAGCCCTTCTAAGAGACTACTTCTCATTCATTTTTCAAGAGTAAGGATCTCCTTAGAAAAGGAGATCAGAGTCCCACTGAGAATGATAGTGAAGGGGATAAAGAGACTAACCTTAGTTCTGAGTAGAAAACCAAAGCTTTTTCCCCCTGTTTTCTAACATAAGGTCAGTCTCTACCCCGTTCAGAAGTCAGGCTGGTCCAGCCTTTTCCAGAATTGTATGCAAAACAGCACGTAGAGAATTAGTAAGTTGTAAATTTGTGCAGAAAACAGACCAAAGATAACTAGCTGCTCTGGTGAATATTATTGATAGTTTAAAAAAATAGCTTCTGAAGTTTTACAATATACAGTGAAAAATGATCCCCTTTTCTGTCCCGTGTATCCCCCTTTAGCAGGGCTTTGGGTTTCAGGTGAAAGCAGGAAATCTGGTATAACTTGACTCCCAGGGCCTCCCCTCCTGGAAAGGGAACTTTACATGGAGACAGTGCTGATGCTGGCAGGGCTGGAGTACCTTACTCCTCCTGAGACAGATTCTGGAAGTGAGGGTAGGCTGCAATTAGAAGAGGACTGGTCGAGTTGGCTGTGACAGTGGGGTCAGGAGATGGAGGTTGGAGCTGGCCCCGGGGGGTTGGGCGAGGTGGGTGAAGGAGAGAAGAGTGTGTATTGCCCAGTAGGAGGATGGGTTGGGGAAGGAGAATATCCAGGCCAGAGGTCGGTGGGCAGGGAGTCCGTGTCTGAAGTTCCCGGAGGGATGTCTGGGGCTCCTAAGGCCATGGGTGAGCGTCCAGGAAAGAGTCCATGAGTTCCAATCAAGGGCCCGTGTGTCCTGTTCAGGTGTCCAGGCATTTGGTCTAGGGACCTGGAGGTTTGGTTCAGCAGACCAGGAATCTTGGCTCTGAATCCCTGCAGCCTCTTCAGAAGTCCAGAGCCAGTAGTTCTGGCTGAGACGCTGGAGTTTGTCTCCAACAATCCAGAAGTCCTGTTTGGGAGCTTGTGCAGTGTGAGCAATAGAGAGGTATTGCTTGGGACAGCTGTCGTGGGTAGGGCCTGCTTGACACACAGGGTGGGCCCTACTACAAGCAGCAGGAAGCGCACCTTTCCTCGGAGCAGTTGTTGGAAGGTCAGGAATATGGCCCTGGGATCCTTGTGAGTTGTGGTCCTGCCCTGTGGAGGAAGCTGAGGGCAGAGGATGGGCCTGAGGCCAGAGACCTGGGCCGGATATCATGCCGTCCCTCGTCTCCAGGGAAAGATAAGGTGCCAGCACCCAGACTTTATGGCTGGGAGGGAGCACTCTTTAGTTGGTCAGCTGTGCTACCCTCAGGATTCCCAGAATTCGTCTTTCTTCCCTCAGGTCTTCTAAAGGGACTGAGTCAGCAAAGGAGAGTTTCTGTCGTCCCCTTGACTCAGGACTTACTTACCTGGGTTCCAAGGAGGCCCTGCAGGGCCCCAAGGAGGAGACGGACCTGTCCGGAAAGCTGTCCCAGGAGGGATGAGAGGCAGGTGGGTCCCAGTTGTCTCCGTGCTGCCATTACTGCCTCCAGCAGAAGGGCCGCGGCTCCCAGAATGTCCTGTGCCTTGGTCTTCTCCTGCAAGAGAGATGGAAGGGAGAAGCGGCCTACTTCAAAGGGCATGCTAATAGCGGGTGGGGACCCCTAGGAGTAGCCAGCGGAATGAATCATAGGAGCTGAGAATTGGACAGGACCAAGGTCCCACCCAGCCCAGGAATTCCTTCACAGTCTCCCGGCAATTGGTCATCAGCCTCTGCTTGAATAACTCCAGTGTCCGGTAACCCAGCCTGGTCTTACACTTAATTTCAGTCAGAAAAGTTCTTTTTCCCCCTTACTCTACGTTGGAATCTGTGCTATTATAGTTTTTAACCTCTCGGTTCTAGTGCTGCCAATCTACTTTTTCTGCTACAAAATCCTAGAATCATGATTTTTTAAAAACTTAACGGAGAGATGAGACCATCACAAAGATCATAAAGATGAAGGAAAGGGCCTTACAGTGATCAATGGCAGAGCTGGAACTGCAAGGGATCCCTAGGAATTGCCCTTCGTCCCTGGCCCAGTTCCCCCCACCCAAGACCTGAGGGAAGAAAGGGGATTCTAGGGATCTGGAGGGTAGAAGAGCTGACCTTGCAAGGAGTGCTCCCTCCCCGGAGGTTTCCTGAGCCTCAGACTAAAGCACATCCAACTATACCACAAGACTTAACAACTTTTCTCCAAGCTCATCAGACAGGCTTTTTTCTTTTTTCTTTTTTTTTAAGCCATTCCTCACAGAATGTGTTTTCTAACCTCTCACTGTTCAGGTTGCTTCCTCCTTCTGGACACATGCTAGTTTAATATGGTCCCTCTGAGTAAATTAGCATGTGTCTAGAGGAGGGTATCCAGTACTCAACTCAGTACTGTTAAGTGCAGGCCACTTAAAGGTTTTTAGGAATATTTCCACAAGGTGGATGCTAAACATCTAAAGCCACCTAGAATCACTAGCTTTTAAAATAGCTGCTTTAATAGTGTTACCTGCTAAGTCTGAGGTCAACTCAATCCTCCCAGATCTTGTTCATAGTAAGTTCTAGGGCCAGAAGTTTATATAAGGGGAAGTGGGGGCATTATGGCCTGAAAGCTGGAATAGGACTTTACTTGATTACTTTGAGTAAATGTAGAATTTTTTGTATATCTCTGTTAAATTTTACCTTGTTTTTGATCTATCCTTTCAGCAATGTGAATCTTGATTCTATCTTTTGCTATTTTACCTCTGCTTCCCAGTTTTGTGTCATCTGGGGATGACAGATCAGTCTTACTTCTTCATGCCAGCTTAAGAAGTTTGCATAGGAATAGGTCAAAGGCATGGCTGTGAGAGACTTCTATCCAGCTTTTCTGGGTGTTCAGCTTTGAATCTATTTTCACATACTGGGACTGCAAGCCATCTTGTCCAGAGGATATCATCATAGAGGAATGTAGATTAGGTTAAGGTGGCCAAGCCCAAGGTGAGATATTTTTAGGAAGCTCAGGAATTTTGAAGAATCCATGGAAAGCAGTAGAAAACTGATGAAGACAGGAATTAGGGAAACCAAAGGAAGGGATGGCTTTCTTACCTTCTGGGTTTTCCATTCTCCCAAGCTGAAGTCCACAGCAGGCAGCAGGACAGGTGTGGACAAAGGGTTAACGTCTGGACACTGGTTCTAGTGAAAAAGATTGGTGGTGGGGTGGGGTGGAGAAGGGAGCTCAAATAAAGGAGGGGGGGTGGTGACCCAGTGACCAGGAGTAATATATGTCCAGACTAGAGCTTTTAAAAGTGGACTAGATTGCAAATCATCATCCTCATCAAGGAGTGGTGATGGGGAGGTGGCGGTCTTACCAAGGACAATATAGGAAGAACAGTGATCGGGTCCGGGGGTGAGAGGGAATGATGGGAGGAGGGGTATCTGACGAGTTAATGGATAGAGGGGAGAGTGCTGGGAGATCCTCACCAGTCTGCTGTGAAGGACATGGGAGTCTCGAAGCAGTTTATTTAGGAGACGGGGGTCACAGGCGGGAGGAGCCGGGAGGCACAGATCCAGTCTTGCAGTTAGGAGAAGCATGACCACGAGGAGCAGTTCTTAGATGAGGAGAAGTGAGGTTGACAGGGTGGATAAGGAAGAAATCATTGTCAGGTGGTAGTCCAGGAATTCCCAGTTAGGACCCAGACCTGAAATCCAGGGAATTTACCTTTCAGAGGCCTCAATCCTGGGAGATTGGGTTCCCTCCGCCCTCTACCCTGGAGGCAGCACATCTCCTTTCTCTTTCCTCTTTAACCCCGCTGTGATTTGGCCCTGGGTCCCGCAGGTGTGTTCTTACCAGTCGGCTCCATTCTGGCCAGGCTGTCTGGTAGGAGCGGCTCCCTGGATGGGGCCTCTCCCCTGACTCCTTCCTGGGGCCATGGAGGCGGCTTGGGCTCCGGCACTTCTTGCACGGTGGGGCACAGGTGGGCTGAGGAAGAGGGTCTGGAATCTATCCTGCAAGTGACAGGAATAGCTGCTGGGAGGGCATGAGATGCTGACCAGCCCGGAACTGCTAGCGCTCTGACCGCTCCCAGGTCTCCTTGTGACTGCGGCATGTGGTGTCTCCTCTCTGTCAGGGTTCCTCAGTGAGTCTGACGTGGGGCTGGTGCCCCTGCCCCTGCCGAGAGCAGCAGGATGGAATACGCAAGCGCGCGCGTACACACACACACACACACACACACAACCTCAACTGGCCTCAAATTCTCAGCAACCTCGGTTTGGTTAGAGAAAATCTGGGATGGGGAGAGGGAATAGGAGTATTGTGGCGTAAGCCTGGGAGAAGAGGTTGGAAAGCGGGATATAAGGTGAGGGTGAGGAGCTAGCAAACATGTGCAATGTGTTGAGGGGTAGCTGGGGGAGTGGGGCAGAGGAGGGGACTTGGGGAAAACAAAACTGTACGACTAGGGCTTGGTGATTACAAGATTATGAGAAGGTGGTATGGGAGCAATTAACCGCTCATTCTCTCTCCATTTACCCCCACCCATAAGCCTCTTGGAGTTTTTCTTTGCACTCCCAGTTCTAACATACTGGGTTATCTGAGGCAGAGAGAGGGGCTAACAGTCCTGGGACTTCCCACCGGAGGCAATTTGCCCAGCAATCGGTACGTGCTGAGTGAGGCACCCACCTCACGTGGTTACCTCGCGTTGGACACCCACCGTATCCATCTCCTAGCCCACATCTTCCTCCCTGCCCCCTCGGCAGACCCCTTCCAGTTCCTTCACAGGACCCCCCACATGGCCTCCTCCTTCTTTGACAAGTTGTGCAAAGAGGCCTGCACCTGATTCAATATTGGGATTTCCTGTAGGTCTGTCAACATGCATGCGCCCTCCTCCCACAACCCTCTCCTTGGGCCCAGCTTCCCCAGTCCCAGGATTCAGAACCATAAGCGAACTAAGAACTACTGGGTAAGAATGGGGATTGGGCCTGTGTCCGGCTTGATGCTATATGCCCTAAGCCCTAAATGCACCACCTTTCTTATTTTCTCCCGGGGCACACGTCTGCTTTCCTTAGGGCCAGCTGGGACAGGGCTATATTCCTCCAAGTCTGATCAGTCCCTCAGAACCCAGCACCCCACCCCCTACCCCTGCTCTGTCCTGCTCCTCCCATTCTGGGAAGGCTACACGCTTCTCGACAAAGGTCAGTGCCTGTAGGTTCCAGTTTGCCTGCCCCTCCCCCAGCTGTGAGCCCAATTCCTCTTTCCTACCCTTCCTAGCCTCACTTAACTCCAAACCCTGCTTGCCACTCACCGGGTAGAGAAGGGCTCCAGGACCCAGGTGCACAGCAGGCAGCACTCTGGGGAGCCGATGGGTAGGGAGACACGTAGTGCTGGGGCACAGCCCCTCCACAGCAGTAGGGTCACAGGCCTGCCCAGGACAATTCTGCCCAATCAGAGAGCAGGGAGCCACCAGATACTGGTGAAGGCCCCCGGAAGTGACGCCTTCTCCTCCCACCTGCACTGAACATGGAGCCCCTGCCTGGACCATGGTCCACTAGCAGAGCCCAGCTCCTCCACCCACACACACCACAGGGAGGATTTCAACAGGGGGATCCATCTTTTTCTAGGAGATGGGAAACCTGGGACCTGGCTGGGGGGAGGAGATGGGCTTTTTTCCCCAGGAGAAATCTGGCAGGATCTTTTTGTTCCTGCGGAAGAGGCACAGAGATCTGGTTCTGGTTTTGGATTGGTGGGTTGTTCAGTTCCTGACTGGCCAAATTTCTTTTCCCTGGACAACACACCTGCTGCTGAGACCCACTAGGGCTCTTGCTTTCCTGCCTTTCTCTCCTATAATCCTGTGCGGGTCGTGTCTTATTCCCCCTTGCCCAGTGGGAATGTGGGTATTGCCTGTATTAGGGAATGAGCCCGTCATTGGTCAGTGTTATAGGAAAAGGGTTTGGACCATTTGAGAGGACTGCAAGGTGAGGGGTGTGTGTAGGGTGGTTAGGCTGGGCTCAGGTGCCCCTCTGGCGGGGGGCCCGGTGACTCAGACAGCTAAGGCCACTTACCTCTGTGCCCAAGCTCTCCTGAGCTTGCCCTGTCTTTCTCCCCGTTCCATCTCCTACCACTCCATATGTGACAAGAGGAATAACCAGGCCCATGTGTCCCTGTCTTAGGAAAGACAGCTGCTGAACCTCCCCCGCAAATACCTCCTGCTGGCCCCCCTCTTCCTTTGGCCCTGGTTCTAGTTCCTTTGCTTTTCCCTCAATCCCAGTCTCCTCGCAGTCTCTGTCCTCAGGGGCCTCCTGGCCTGACCTTGTTCCCATCACCCCCCACCCCAGTTCTTCCCCTCCTGCTCTTCCTCCCAAGGATGGGGCTGTCAGCTAAGGAGTATGGCCTAGATCCCGGAATTCTCCAGTTCAGCCAGATGAGATGCCTCCCAAGATTAGGAAGGAGGGTGCTGGGATGGTTGGGAGGATGGTGGGTGAATGGGTGTGGGAGGGGACAGGGAGGCAGTCATGATCAGGAAACCAAGACAAAGGAGGTTGGGGGTGGGGTGGAGAGGCAGAGGGTCCCCTGGGTGAAGGGAAGAGGGTGAGAGAGGATGTCAGGCTGGGGACAGTGATGGTTGGATGGGCCTGCGGGACAGGTTACGGTAGGGAGGGAAACACTGTCACAGACAGAAAGGGGACCCTCTTTCTGGCTAAGTCCCTCTCCTGGGGAACAGTAGAGTGAGGGAAGACCTCTGGGAAGAGATAGGGCCACAGGCCAGGCAGTGAGTGTGGGTGGTGTGGGGTTTGAGACGTGCTGTGGGCCCACAGTAGGGGAGATCAGTTGACGGGCCTTTCCTGCACGTTGTCATCCTTAAAAGACAAGTCTTCATCTTTCCGGCAGGAACCGAGTACTAGCCCAGTGGCCGGCCCAGGCCTCAGGCCCAGCCTCTGCCCCTCCCTGGCCTGGGGCTCCCGTCTTGGGCCGGACATGCACCTCCTGGTGCAGCCGCCCTGTGGCCGCCAGCAGCGGGGGGCTCCAGACCCGCCTCTTCTCCCCTCTTCGCGCCCCCTGGTCCCTCCCCTCCCCCTACCCCCTCCGCTCCCCCTTCCCCTCCAGCCCCTCCCTCCTCCCCTGCCCGGTCCCAGCCCCTCCCTCCCCTCCCCCACTCGCGATCCGGGCCGCTGCTGCTGGGCCGGACCCCCCGGGCTCAGCCCGGCCCCTCGCCGAGCCGCCGCCGCCGCCCCGTTTGCTGAGGAGGAGGCCCCCCGGCCGGGGCGCCGGGCGCGGGGCATAAAACGGGCCGGAGCCGGCGCCCGGGGCACTAGAGCCGCGTACGGCCCGGGTCAGCGCCCGCCCGCCCGCGCTCCTCCCGGCCGCTCCTCCCGCCCCGCCCGGCCCGGCGCCGACTCCCGCCGCCCGACGAGCCCCTCGCCGCACTGCCCGGGCCCTGGCCCCGGCCCCCTCCCGCCGTACCGCCCCCGGCCCGGCCCTCCTCCCACCTCCCTCCTCCCTCTCCTGCTCCCTCCTCCCTCCCGCCTCCCCAGCTGTCCCGTTCGCGTCATGCCGAGCCTCCCGGCCCCGCCGGCCCCGCTGCTGCTTCTCGGGCTGCTGCTGCTCGGCTGCCCGCCGGCCCACGGCGCCGGCCCCGAGCCCCCCGCGCTGCCCATCCGGCCCGAGAAGGAGCCGCTGCCCATTCGGGGAGCGGCAGGTAGGTGGGCGGCCCGGGGGACGCGCAGGCAGAGTCCGGCTCGGGGCAAGTCTGCGCCCGCCCGGAGGGGGCGCCGGGCGCAGGTGGCTCAGCGCGGCGGGCGGCCAGGAGGGGTGGGCGGGGGTCGCGAGGCGCGTCGCGCGGGGGGCCGGGGTGGGGGGGCGCGGGGAACACCCAGGGCCCGGCCGGCAGCGCCCAGGGCGGGCGCACCGCAGGAACGGGACAGCGGCCGCCAGCCAAGCCCGTCCCCGCAGGCTGCTCCTTCGGCGGGAAGGTCTATGCCTTGGACGAGACGTGGCACCCGGACCTGGGGGAGCCCTTCGGGGTGATGCGCTGCGTGCTGTGCGCCTGCGAGGCGGTGAGTGAACCCAACTGCCGTGGCCGGGGCCCTTGCGGGTGGGGGGGCGCTCGGGTCCCCGGCATGTCGGAGTGGATTCGGAGCTGCTGAGCCGAAAGAAGCGAGTCTGCAGGTATTGGGAGATATGTATGTATTTGTTCCTGGCGGAGAAAGTGGAGAGGAAGCGCCCCATTCAAGTCTCAGGTGTTGACTGTTATTGACCACCCACTATGTGTCAGGCTCTTTGCCAACGGTTTCATCGGTCTCTCACCTCCTAGAATAATCCTGCTAGATACACACTATTACTTCCCCCATTTCCCAGATAGGGACCCCAAGGCCCAGAGACGTTAAGTAGTTTGTCTAGGGTCAAGCAGCTTGTTAAGAAACAGAGTGGTCTGACTCCATGGGATGACCTTGCTCTGGTCCCATGACTCTCTCCTGGTGGCCGGGGGTGGGGGGGGTGGGGTGGGGGGGGTGTCCCACCAGTTGGTGTCTGGCACTCACTTGGTTTTCCCGTCTTCCCCGCAAGCAGCCTCAGTGGGGTCGCCGCGCCAGGGGCCCGGGCAGGGTCAGCTGCAAGCACATCCAACCCGAGTGCCCAGCCCTGGCGTGCGTGCAGCCGCGGCTGCTGCCGGGACACTGCTGCCAGAGCTGCCCCCAGGGTAAGGCCGGCGCCGCGGTGAGGGGAGGGAGGCCGGGCAGTGACGCTTGGTCCTGAGCCCCGCGGCTGGCGTGGACGGAGCAGACGGAGCGGCCAGCCGGCCCCCGTCGTGCCCAGCTGAAGCCCGGGTTTCCCACTCCCGGCTTAGAGCGCGGCGCTCCCGAGAGGCCGCCAACGGGCCTGGCCTTCGAGTACCCGCGGGACCCAGAGCACCGCAGTTACAGCGACCGCGGGGAGCCAGGCTCTGAGGATCGGGCGCGAGGGGACGGCCACACGGGTAGGTATGGGCCAGGCAGGAGCTGGGGCTGTGGTTGGGGCCGGGCTGCCGTAGCGGGCGCTGACACCCCGGCACATCTTTTCCTCGCAGACTTCGTGGCGCTGCTGACAGGGCCGAGGTCGCAGGCCGTGGCTCGGGCCCGAGTGTCTCTGCTGCGCTCTAGCTTGCGTTTCTCCATCTCCTACAGGCAGTGAGAAAAGGGGAAGGTGGGAGGAGGGGTCAGCTGGGGACTGGGGAAGGAGAGTTGGGAGAGGCTGGAGGAGCTGCTCCTGGCGGAGGCTCAGCTCACCCTCATTCCCAGGCTGGACCGCCCCACTCGAATCCGCTTCTCCGACTCGGCTGGCAGCGTCCTGTTTGAGCACCCTGCAGCCCCCACGCGAGATGGCCTGGTGAGATGATGCCATTTACGAGTGCTTACCCAGTCTGGGCCCTGTACCGCCAGCGGGCTCTGCATTGCCTCCGTGGGTCCTCACCACAGCCCAATGAGAGGAAGGCACTGACATTGTGATGCCCATTTTACAGATGAGGGAACTGAGGCTCAGTAGCAGAATGTGATTTGCTCAAGGTCACACAGCTAGTAAGTGGTTGAGCCAGGATTTGGACCCCGGCATCTGGCTCCAAGGCCCCCTTCCTAAGCTTCCTAGGAGGGCTTGGGGCTCCTTCCCGTATTCCTTCCTCACCATAGCTGGGCCTCGCAGCGGGCCTGTGTTGCATACTGTCTGAGTAGGGCCTTCTTGTCTCTCTGCTCCAGGTCTGTGGGGTGTGGCGGGCAGTGCCTCGGTTGTCTCTGCGGCTCCTTAGGGCAGAACAGCTGCAGGTGGCACTTGTGACAGCCACTCACCCTTCAGGGGAGGTCTGGGGGCCTCTCATCCGACACCGGGCCCTGGCTGCAGGTGAGGGGAGCAAATGGCCCCTGGACGTGAAGTTCTGAGGCTTCTGTGTCCCCAGGAACAGAGTGGGCTGAGGAGGGGACTTCCTGATGGGCTCTCATGGTCCTTCCTCCTCCCCCAGAGACCTTCAGTGCCATCCTGACCCTAGAAGGCCCCCCACAGCCTGGCATAGGGGGCATCGCCCTACTCACTCTCAGCGACACAGAGGACTCCTTGCATTTCTTGCTGCTCTTCCGTGGACTGCTGGAATCCAGGAGTGGGGGTAAGTGGGATGGGGCAGGCCACGTGAGGAGGGTAGGGAGAGCACCGATCCCTCAGAGGCATCCACACGTGTGACCATTGCAGGACCAGCCCAGGTTTCCTTGCGGCTCCAGATTCTACACCAGGGGCAGCTACTTCGAGAGCTCCAGGCCAATGCCTCAGTCCAGGTGAGCGAGGCTCTGGCTCTTGCTGCCCCCTGCCCTGGCCTTCTGCTGCACCCGCTATACCTTGCTCTGTCCCCAGGAGCCAGGCTTTGCCGAGGTGCTGCCCAACCTGACGGCCCAGGAGATGGACTGGCTGGTGCTGGGGGAGCTACAGATGGCCCTGGAGAGGGCAGGTGGGCCAGCGCCACGCATCAGCGGACACATCGCTGCCAGGCAGAGCTGCGATGGTGAGGCAGGGTGGGGCTGGCGCCCCGGGCACATAACACTGAGAGGCACAGACACACGGCGAGGGTGGGTATGGGCGGAGTCGTGGGGGCTGGGGAGGGATGAGCAGCCATGGGGCAAGCCTGCCTCCACCTTTCTTGTCCCCCTGCAGTCCTGCAAAGTGTCCTTTGCGGGGCCGATGCCCTGATCCCTGTTCAGACGGGTGCAGCTGGCTCAGCCAGCCTTACGCTGCTAGGAAATGGCTCCCTGATCTACCAGGTGAGAGTCAGGAGCTGCACGGGGAGAGGGGCTTTGGCCTGCACGGTTCGGGCCTCCGGCCTTCTCAGCCACTCCAATTTGTCCTCCCCCACCCTGTCTCCCAGGTGCAAGTGGTGGGTACAGGCAGTGAGGTGGTGGCCATGACGCTGGAGACCAAGCCTCAGCGGAGAAACCAGCGAACTGTCCTGTGCCACATGGCCGGCCTCCAGCCGGGAGGGCACACAGTGAGTGCTGTCGGCAGAGCCGGGCCACAGGGCCCGTGCCCAGGGGCGTGGACGGCCGGGTTGGATGAGCAGGGAGGTTCGGGGTCATTCACTCACTAACAGGTTCTCTCACTGACACGCTGATTCCCTGGACACATTTTTAGGGAGCCTCAGGCTAGGGACTGGAATACGAAGAAAATCAGATGTACCCCCATCCTCAGCAATGTCACATCAAATGGGAGGAGGAGTTGGACAGGGAGACCATGTAATTAAAAATGTGGTAACAACGAGTGCCGCTTACTGAGCCTTTCTCTGGGCCGCATACTGCACCGATTGCCTTTCTTACATTATTTTTGGCCCTCATGGTTCCCATTTTCTAGACGGTGAAGTGAAGGATCCGAGAGGTTAAATAACTCCTCAAGACTGTTAACATAGGTAGGAAGTGGCAGAGGAGGGACTTGAACCTGGGCTTGCGAGGTGCTATCCAGTTATGCGTGTGTGTGTTGGGTGTAACGGGGGCACAAAACACAGAAAGGCATCCAGAATCTTGGGCTTGTGTGAAAGCTGAGGAGGGGTTCATCT